CTTATTATACTCGGGCTACGCCCCACAAGGATGCGAGAAGAGTGCACTGCTGCGGCGTCAATCTGCGTGTTTTGCGGGCAGTGCGGTGCCCTCAAAGGAGAAAAGTGACAAGCCCGTGGTCTGACCGGTGGTTGGCGGCCGCTTGGAGGCCCCAATTTCCCTCATCGTGCTCGGTGTCGTCCGCATCCGCGCAGTCTGTTCTGTCGGCTTGGCGTGCCATCGTGCTTCTACAATGCGTAACACCCATCGCCTCGGAAAGGCTGTGCAAGCGCATTGTAGCCGTGCCCTCCCCCCCCTCCTCCCCGCTCCTCCCCCTCCTCAGCTCCTCCTGAGCTCCTGCACCTCCCCATCCTCCCGTCCTCAATAGCGAACATTTGAACTTGGACTCAGCACCATGAAGCCACGTAGCTTCTCATCGCGTCGAGTTTGTCAGCGGCGTGCCTCACATCACATGTATTGTATGCATCCCCGTAGCAAAAGTTATGGTTGGGTTGCGTACCTGTCTGTCTGCTGCTTCGTTCATGGCAAGCTGGCCCCTGCTTTGCCCCGCCCCCTGCCCACCCACGACCTGGCTAATGTCCAGCGTGCCCTCATCCATCAGCGAGCCCATGGTGTTGAGCTCCACCACCGTGCAAGCCTCGGATAAGATAGGAGAAGGAGGATGACGAGGAGATACGCTCGCGCCCAACCGAAGCCCGCCCCTGCCATCCTCCCCCTCTTTCGCCCTTCCCGCTACCGCCCATCCCTCTTCCATTGAGTCAATCATCCGTCTGGCCCTTCCCTTGTTCGAGGCCAGAACTTGTATCCACCTCCCAGGGAGCTGATGTCCCAGGGCCCCATGGGTCCATTCGGGCACCCTCGGGCCAAACAACTATATCGATATCCACCGCCTGCCGATGCTCTGAGAGATAGATCCTGACACGGGGTCTACATAAACATGTCCTCGCATCATCTCTCTCCATCCCCCTGACCCTTCAACGTCGTCCTGCTTCTACTCGCATTCCTCCTCTTGATGCTCATGCGTGTAGGACGGCTCGGTCGTCACCGTAATGATCCAAAACTCTCCCTCCGTCCGCCTCTCCCGAATATGATCCCTCTTCCTCGTGCCCCTCCTCATCATCCCCATCATCATCCCCACTCCCTTCTTCCTGGAGCAGGAGCAGGAAGTGAACAGTGGGAATGTGCAAGCCCGGCAGCGACATTCATCAATTAATCCTCCAGGCCCCTGGTCCGCCTCTCTCATGGCGAGAACAGTAGACCACAGTTCAGGGTAATATGCATTCGTATATACCGAGGTGATGTTGGTGGGCCTCCCCCCGCACACACCCCTCAACGAACGATTTTGGATGCGGCATAGTACCCGCACCTCTTACAAAAAATAGCCCCAACTTTCAGTGGAACCGGGATCATGGGTCGAATGCAGCCATCAACCCCCGCACAATGGACAGAATGGTCGGCAAGCGCTTTAAGTAGGACTCCCATATCGGGCGCTAACTTACAACAGGGGGTCCCATGCCAAGCGGCGAATTCCTTCTAGGCAGCTGAACGTTTAAAAACAGAGCGGTGCTTGCAATCTTCGGTCGCGCCCCACTGCGCAGCAATTCTGGGGGCACCTTTTTGTCAAACGTATCATGTGGTTTGGGGCCTCGTTTTGAGAAGACAACGCCTCACAACTCATTCCTTCCAGTCCTTCCATTCCTTCCTCCCACCACCCCTTCTTCCCACCCGTGTCTTCGCCCTTCTGCATGTCCTCATCGACATTATCGAGTTTCACCGTCATCATCCCCTTCACTATCACCGCGCCGCCCATTGCGACACACCCGACCACGTTTCGCACCCCCTCAGGGAGCCCCACCGAAAGCCCCAGTAGCAGGGCTCGCACGTTTCCGCGCCACCGATTCCGGCAGACCCTTCACAGGTTGCGTAGTCCGACTAGCAACAACAACAATGGCCAGACCAACTCCGACCCTAAATGGTTAAGCAAATTGGCGAACTCCTGCCCGGCACCCCACGGCGCCCGGGCGCCCGGCGGCGAGAGGCAGCTGGCCCCGTGCCCCGCGAGGGGCTTCGCTCGCCATAATGCGCCACTCCACTCTTCAACTCGTAATCGGCGATGACGGGCAGACGCTCGACCACCGCCACCTCGCGCATCCGTCGACGCATGCATCGCCGGCGCACATTTCTGCGCACTTGCCGCAGACGCCGCAGCTACTGAGAATGCGCGGCATCATCTATCACGTCGGCAGGGCGATGAAGCATCTTCCCCGCCGCAACGAAGACCTCCACTTCAGCCGTCTCCCGAGGACCCCGCGACGTCGCGGACGTCGCGCGTGCCGACGCCGCGCGCTTCCTGGACTCCTTCAACGCCTGAGCAAGAGCCCGTCCTCGCGCTCTGCCAGCAATCCTCGGGAAAGCAACCGACGCTCAGAACCGCCGTCGCAGCTTCGCCCACGCGCGCGAGAGCATCCGTTCGCCCATGCGCCCAAACTGGAGCCCCTGAGATGGCATGGCGTTGCTCGGGAACTTGCGTGCCCAACGCCCGCATGCCATGACAATCTCTCACGGCTGCTCCACTCCTTTCTGTTTGGTCCGATGTTCATGTTCCTGCTGTCAACGCACGCACCTGCTGCAACCGCGGTGTTTCCACGTCTCCAACTGATACCCAGCATGCCCAGCACGCTTGAGAACCAACTGCGGCCCCTCAGCACGTCCTCGCCGCGAACGCCCCCTGCCCCCCCCCCTCGCCAGAATCGCGCGTTCAGCAGCGGCGACCCAAAGTGCGCAGCTGGTGCACGCCGCAAAAACGCCTCAGCCTACAGCCGACAAGGCCACGGATGACGCGATCGGACCCCAGACGCAACGCTCTCGCTGAGCAGGCGGACCAGACCCCCGAACGGGGGCCCCGACCCCGCAAGGAATGCGGCACTCGAGCCCTTGACCAACCGCGCCGCCAGCGTCGTGGAGGGGGCGCTGCTCGATAAGAAACCCGACTGGCCCCGCGCTGCAAACCGGCGCCGGCACCAGGGCTTCGCGGGCCCCGTGCAGGAGGGAGAGGGAGCCGAGGAGGCAGGGGCAGCAATGAAGGGCCCGCCGCAAGGCACCGCCTAAACTCTGCTCTGCGCGCACGCGGGCCCCCAAAAAACTCGTCGCCAAGCATCTCGAGACCCACGGGCCCCGCATCTTCTCGGCGCCAGGTGGGACAGAAGCCGCCGCCTGCGACGAGCTTTGGGCACCAGCGGGGCCCCCCCTTGGTAGCTGGCTTCCCTGTCTTGAGGTACATCGCCAAGAATGCCCATTAACACCGGAAGCAGACTAGCCTTCGCTTCGGAGTCAGCCGCGCGCCTTTTCTCGTCGGCCTCAGACGCTTTGGGCCCCGCCCAGGATTCTTCAAAGACCCGCATATCAGCTGCTTGCCAGAGCCACTCAGAGCGAGTTGGAACCGAATGTAGTTTTCCATGGGGCCTGAAAAGCAGGCTCTCACGGCGCAAGATATGACGCTGCTCGAACTGGCAACGCGTTACTGGCCGCGCAGGCCTCCGCGAGACTGCCTGACCCCCCCCCCCCCCCTCGACTGCGAACAAAATCGGCCCGCGCGAGCTTGGGAAAATGAATGTGGAAGCCACCGCCGATTGCCCGCGACGAGCGCAAGGACCCGACAAGGACACCGCATGCGCGATAACTGGCCTGGCTGGCGAGTTGATAACTATTACAGCTTAAGTCGTGTAGATCCACGACCACCGCAGAAAACTCATCTGAGGCACTGCGGGGCGGAGCTGGCAACCACGCGCGCGCGGGCGGGCGGCAAGGTGCGAGCGCCCCAGGAGCCCGAAGACACGGGGCCGACGAGGCTCACGGGGGCGCCGGGGAGATCAATAGCGAGGGTTCGGCGGCCCGTCGGTGAACTGGGGTTGGCCCGGCGTGGCCTGGGCGGCTTTCGCTGGAAAAGTATGGGGGGAACACCCAATGTATTTGCTATTCGTTTGCGGTCGTTGCGGCCCTCGCACCCGCGCGCGGTCGTCGCGCCCGTTTGAGTCGCAAGGCCTCGCCAGGCAAATCGGCCTAAACGACAACCCGCTGCGTGACGCAGCGCTCTCTTCGCTCGTTGGTGCTGTGCGCCCACGAGGCATCGTCTGGCACAGGATCTGCTGACCTGGCTGACTTGGCTAAGACTCTCATGCCCACCTCATGAACTTCGCCTACCCATTTCCCCATGGCGTCGGGGCTAACATGCGTTTCGAAAAACGACCGAAAGATGCTCGCTGCGCTGTGCTCAACAACGCACGTCCACGCCGTGCCCCCCATGCGCATTACGTTGGCGAACAAAGGACTCAGGCTACCAGCCTGTCTGGTCGCAGATCCACCTTTTCCTGGCTGGAACTGGCGAAGTGGGGCTCGCGCCATCAGAATGCGGTGGCGTGCTGGCCCCAGATTACGAAGCCACTCCAGCAGCTCCACCTCCCGGAGACCAGCTTGCGGACGCGCGCGTAGTCGAGACGGCGGACGCGATGCCCCAGCCAGACTCCCCCAGCGACGAGACATTTGAAACTTCCAGCTTAGACATGTGACCCCAGTCCGCAATCACATTGCTAGGGATAGACGGTTGAAGTAGATAGTGAAGGTAGAGGTGCAGCGTAGCCGAACTCGCTGCAGATGCGAGCATGACTGATCTGGCAGCTGCTACGTGGATGTCCAAATGCAGGATGTGCGCGCCTGCCCCCGCTGCTCCGACCCCTGGCGCCTGGAGACGCCCTGGTGCCACCTCGCGCGCACGCAAGGCCATCGCGGCTTGGCTGGCGAGGCCGCCGAACCAGCTGGCTGGCTGGCTGAAGCAGCCTCCTGCGCCTTAGCAGATTGCGCCGCCACCACCGCCGCCGCTTCAGCATGGTCGACGTTCTTCTTGGACAGTGCTGCAGCCGTCGCCTGCGCCGGCGCCGCTAAGCCCTCTGCTGGCGCTGAGATAGCAGCAGCTGGGGGCCCTCGTGGCTAAGGATGTTCAACCGCCCCACGCGGGGTTGCCGCGAACTTCCTCCGATCGGCCACCCGCTCACGTATCGTACTATGCACCGCGCGCGCTCTAGCCAACCTCTCGTTAATGTTTGTGGCGTCGTCCCGCTCGACATAGTCTTTTACAAATAGGGCTGCGCCAAGAAACCCGCGAGGCTGTCCTTCTCGGTCTGCTCGACGCCGTCGAAGTCAACGCAATCGTCGGAAAAGGACAATGCCCACTTGAGCTCGAAGACTGGTGCTGACGCGGAGCTACCTGACACCGCACACCTCTGGTTTCCGTTCGTCTACTGGCGATTTCAGCCTCCGCGAGGGTCACACCACGATAAGGTACAGTGCTGGACTCAGGTCTGCCTGGCAGTTCTGCACCCAAGTTGCTTGAGTGAATGAGGAGCAAGAATGGCATGAACAGGTCCGTCTCTCCATACGACCTCTGCCGCCCTCCTGGGTCCGCCTCCATTCCCCCCCTCGGCTCCCTCCTCTCTGACCCCCCCGCTCAATACACCACCTCGTCGAGCTCTGGCTTCCGAAATGGGTCTCAGCCCTCCAACTAGAGCACTCGGGAACGATGACGTAACCAAAGACCCGTCTTCCTCATTCAGCTCCTGGTCCTCTTCCTCTCCGTCTTCTCCTCCTCCTCCTCCTCCCCATCCTCCTCATCCTCCTTTCCGCCTTCTCCTCCTCCCCTTTCCCTCCCTCCTTACCATCCTTCTTGTCTCCTCCTCCTCCTCCTCCTTCTTCCTCCTCCCTCTTCCTCCTCCTCCCTCCTCTCCTCCTCTCCTCCTCCTCCTCCTCCTCCTCCTCCTCCTCCTCTCCTCTTCCTCCTCTCCTCCCTCCTCCTCCTCCTCCTCCCTCCTCCTCCTCCTCATCCTCCTCCTCCTCCTCCTCCTCCTCCTCCTCCTCCTCCTCCTCCTCCTCCTCCTCCTTGTCATTCGCCGCCGCCTCCTCCTCCCGCCTTTCCCGCTCATGCTCCCCCTCTGCTCCCACCGATCGCCCCCTTCCCCTGCAGCTCCACCCCTGCATGTGCCTCCGTCTCATCTCCGTCATCGTAGCCGAGACTATCAACCATCCTTCATCCATCGGCGGTTGACAAACCTCCCTCTAGTAGACCTCACCTCAGTGAAAACGGCCTGGGGCCGAAACCGACGGGCCTGGACCCGCAGAAATGACGGCCGCGACGCCCTCCCGTGAACCGCACACGGCCGATTCCCTAATCGACGCGTCAGGGCAGGAGGTCTACCCACCGTCCTTCATCCATCCTTGCCCCCCCCGTCGTGCCCGTCAGGAGGAGGAGGAGTAGGAGGAGTAGGAGGAGGAGAAGGAGGAGGAGGAGAAGGAGGAGGAGGAGGAGAGGGAGGAGGAGGAGGAGGAGGAGGAGGAGGAGGAGAGGAGTAGGAGGGGAGGAGGAGGAGGAGGGAAGGGAGGAGGAGGAGGAGGAGGAGGAAGAGGGGGAGGAGGAGGAGGAGGAGGCCGCCGTCGCCCTCGGCGTCCGCCCCCTCGCCAGAGCCACAACTCCGCGGCGACCCCCGCCGCGGAGGGCGGCGACGGCCCCGCCGCCAGCTCGCAGCGCAGCGCGGCGCGGCGCCTGCGAGATCACGGCCATCACGGGCTTCGCCAGCGAGCTCACGGCGCCGGTGAGCTCCTCCGCAAGGGGCGGGGCTTAAGTCGGGCCTGTCCCCCTACAGGGGCATTTTCGACGAAAAATTAAACATACTCCACAAGTACCCCAAATGATTAAACAACAACAAAAAATAGTCCACGGACTATTTTTGGAGCATTTTTTCACTATTTGAGGGGTATCTTTTTATTCCCCACATCCAAAGTGGGGTTCTGGTTTTCTTTGCACACCCCGCGCAGGAACACTCACCCCACCCCCTCTCCCCTTCTGCCTTCGCACACTCACTCACTCACTCACTCATCCTCATCACCACTCACCCACACTCACACTCACTCACACTCTCTCATCATCAACATCAGCACCATCACTCGCGCTCTCTCACACGCTCAGTCACTCACATACTCATCATCACCATCATCATCATCATCATCATCATCATCATCATCATCATCATCATCACTCGCACTCTGTCACACGCTCACTCATTCACATAATCACCTGGAGGAAGTCTCAGGCGAGAGCTTCGTCTGTGAGTGAATTGTGAGGAAGTCTCACGCGGGAGCCCCCTCCCTATGGGGCCCGCGAATCACGTTGGTAATCCGAGCGGGTCATCCAAACCCTGTAAGTGTCGTCACTTTTGGGCTCCTCAAGCTTGAGTACGGAGGAAGTCTCAGGCGGGAGCCTCGTCTGTGAGTGAATTGCGAAGAAGTCACAAGCGGGAACCCCTCCCTATGGGGCCTGCGCTTCATGTTGGTAATCCGAGCGGGTCATCCAAACCCTGTAACTGTCGTCACTTTTGGGCTCTTCAGGCCTGAATTTGGAGGAAGTCTCGGGCGGGAGCCTCGTCTGTGAGTGAATTGTGAGGAAGTCTCAGGCGGGAGCCTCGTGTGTAAATTGTGAGAAGTCTCACGCGGGAGCCCCCTCCCTATGGGGCCCGCAGATCATGTTGGTAATCCGAGCGGGTCATCCAAACCCTGTAACTGTCGTCACATTTGGGCTCTCGCGCTGCCAGAACGCCACTCCCGGGCCACATTGTGCATGCCCAGAGCCAACGGTAGGCCACTTCGTGGTCTTCGTGTTCCCAGAACACCATTCCCGGGCCACATTTTGAAACCCCAGAGCCAACTGTAGGCCACTTCGTGTTCTTCCTGTTCCCAGAACACCATTCCCGGGCCACATTCTGGATGTCCGGAGCCAACTGTAGGCCACTTTGTGTTCGTCGTGTTCCCAGAGCGTCACTCCCGGGCCACATTTGTGAATTTCGAATCCGAGGAGGGTCCTCGGAATTCGTATGCCTGTCGTCACTTTTGGGTCCCCGCGGCCTGAATATGGCTGTCATGGGCCTGCTTGCTCCAAAGGGCGACTGAGGAGCTGACGACGACGACGACGACGACGACGACGAGACAGCGGCTGGGCGCAGGAGAAACCTCTTGTGTCCGGGCCGGGGGTAGTGACCCATCCTCGGCCGAATCGGGGGCAGGGGTAACCCCTTGTCTCCGGGCCGCCGGTGGCGACCCATCGGCGGCCGAATCGGGCGCAGGGGTAGCCCCTTGCGTCCGGGCTGGGGGTGGTAACCCATCCTCGGCCGAATCGGGGGCAGGGGTAACCCCTTGTCTCCGGGCCGCCGGTGGTAACCCATCGGCGGCCGAATCGGGCGCAGGGGTAGCCCCTTGCATCCGAGCCGGGGGTGGTAACCCATCCTCGGCCGAATCGGGGGCAGGGGTAACCCCTTGTCTCCGGGCCGCCGGTGGTAACCCATCGGCGGCCGAATCGGGGGCAGGGGTAGCCCCTTGCGTCCGGGCCGGGGGTGGGAACCCATCCTCGGCCGAAATCTTCGCACATTACATGTATTTCCCTTGTGAATAAGGGGCCGTTAACGCCAACTTGTTTTCATGGTTTTCGGTGCGGTTTTGGGGGATATCTGGTGTATATTAGGGAGCGGGGGGAGGGCCCGCGCCAGGGCGAGAAGAAATATACGCAGAAGAGACAGTCAGGACGCCTCACCAACCACGAGGACGACGGTGAGCGCTTTTTCCAGATTCGCCCAGAGGATTCTCATGTGGGGTCCTTCCGTCGGAGTGATTTTTCGTCGAAAATCCCCCTGCAGAGGGGACACGCCCGACATAAGGCGGGGCTGCAGGACGGGGGGGGGTGCTGCACGGCCCCCACGAGGGACGCCAGCAGGGGGACGAGGCTCGAAATCTGGGCGAGGGCTGCTCAAGCCGTGGCTGCTAGAACGGCCCTCATGGAAGGAAAATAACAGCTTCCCGGAACGAGGCGCGACACGCGAGACAGTCAACGGGCTTCTTCACGGAAGGACGAGGACAGCTTCCCGGAGGTCGATTTCAGCAGCCACGGATTGAGCAGCCCTTGCCCGGCTTCCGAGAGACAGAAACTTGGCCCCAGGAGCACCTGGGTGCACGACGAGCGTTGAGAGGAACAGCGACGGGGAGACCTGAAAAACCCACGCCCTATCATTCGCAGTAACGCCCGCTACTGGCCCCGCCCCCCCCCCTTCCTCCCCCTTGGTAGCGTCACGATTCGAGCCGGCGCCGTCTGGGCAGCGGGCGCTCCGTACAGGATGAGAACATGAAACGCGATGACCAGAAGGCACACAAGGTCGCTTGATAGTCACACCCGTTCATATACGCACGCAAAACACACACACACACGCGCACACACACACACACATTCGGTCGAGGAGAGGGAAGAGGAGGAGGAGGGGGAGGAGGAGGAGGAGGAGGAGGAGGGAGGAGGAGAGGAGGAGGAGGAGGAGGAGGGGGAGAAGGGGGAGGAGGGAGAGGTGAGAGAGGAGGGGCGAGGAGGGGGAGGAGGGGAGGAGGAGGAGGAGGGAGGAGGAGGAGGAGGAGGAGGAGGAGGAGGAGGAGGGAGGAGGAGGAGGAGGGAGGAGGAGGAGGAGGAGGAGAGGAGGAGGAGGAGGAGGAGAGGAGGAGGAGGGAGGAGGAGGGAGGAGGAGGAGGAGGAGGCGAGAGGAGGGGCGGCGCAATCCGTGGAGGCGAGAGGAGGGGCGGCGCAATCCGTGCCTGCTGCCAGGGAGCCAGCTCCCCGCGCTAAGTCGGGCGCGGGGCGGCCGGCCCAGCGCTCCGCCTGCCACGCTGCCTCGGACGCGCGGGGGTCAGACCTCTCTGAAGGGGCTCTGGGACACACAAATAAATATACACAAATAAAAGGATTCCCCATACTTTCCCATAGTTTCTCGGTTTTTGTCTTCCCCCCCACTTCAAATATTTTCCCATATTTTCTGGGGAATCGACGATTCATTGTGTCTGTGTGTCGTTTTCCCTCCTGACTCTCGGTCGACGCCCTTCCAAACGCCCGCGCCTCGTCTCGGGCGTCCAGTCAACGGGGGGGAGACCGACGGGGAGGTGAAGAGACGCGCACCCTCCGGGCAACTCCTGGGCCCGCGGAGGAAATCGAGGGGCCGTCGAGGGACCCTTCCGGGCCACTTCCCTGCAATCCTCGATCCCCCTGCCCTGCCTGTTGCCCCCCCCCCCGCCACTGCACGCCCCATCGTCCCGGGTCCCGGCCCCCAAAGGCCTCAAACGGCAATCAGACCTACGCCCTGGTCTGCTCAAAACGTCCGAGGTCCAGGTCCAGGTCCAGGGGGGTCACAAGTGCACCCCCGTAATTGACAAAGCGTGCGCTCTGGCCAACCGTGGCCTCCCAAATGCTCCAACAGAACTTCGAAAACCATCACTTGGACCTCTCCTGGTGTCAAGCCTGGTCCGCTTTCCTCTCCATCCAGGACCCATGTCTGGCGGCCCCCAGGGCCCCACACGGTCCCCGGGAGAACAAGAACCTCGCACACAGAGGCCAAGCCGCGGAGTCAGAGCCTGCTATGGCACAGAAGCGCCCCGCGTCGGAACGAACTGGGCCAACGCGCCTCGAGGGGGAGGCTCGAGGATCGAGGCTCGAGCCTCGAGGATCGAGGCTCGAGGATCGAGGCTCGAGGCTCGAGATGGGCTCCCCCTCCTGCTGCCGGTTGTTGCCGCAGAGGTACCTCTTGAGGTCCAGCGCCTCGGGCGGGGGGCGGGGAGCTCGGGCCGCCCTCCCGCCCTGCTCCCCGCTGCTCCCCCCCCATGCTGACTCCTCCTCACTACTCCTCCCTTCTCGTTCCTCCTCCCTCCTCCTCCCTCCTCCTCGTCCTCCTCCTCCTCCCTCCTCCCCTCCTCCTCCCTCCTTCTCCCTCCATCCTCCCTCCTCCTCGTCTTCCTCTACCTCCTTCCCCTTCGTCCTCCTTCCTCCCTGCTCGCCCACCTTCCTTCCCCTCCCCTCCTCCCTCCTTCTTTCTCCCTCCTCTTCCTCCTCCTGCTCCTCCTCTCCTCCTGCTCCTCTCCTCCTCCTCCTCCTCCTCCTCCTCCTCCTCCTCCCTCACCTCCTCCTCTCCTCCGCCTCCCTCTCTCTCCCTTCTGCTCGTCCTCCCCACCTCCCTACTCCTCCCCCCCCCCCTCCCTCCTCCACCTCCTCCCTCCTCCTCCCTCCACTGCATCCTGCCTCCTCCTCTGCCTCCCGCACCCTCCTCCTACATTCTCTACCTCCACCTGGGCTCGAGTAGCCCACCACTTCCCGACGATCGCCAAATACATGGGCCTCCACTGCACGACCTACGCGGCACGCGCCCCCGCGCGCGATCCCCGCCACTCCTCCCTCGCGCCGTTCGCGCGCGCGCGTGCGCGCCGCTGCGCGCCTGGGCGATGGGGGGGGGGCGTCGGGCCGCGCCAAGATGCCCCAGGCCAGGCGCGCACCTAAGGCCGGGGATCAGGAGGACGGAGGGCTGGGTTGGTGCCCAACGTGCTGTGTTCTTGGGGGGGGGGGGGGCTCCAGGGGCTTCCAAGAGGCCACTCCGGAGGCTTTTCGGGGCTGAGGCTGCAGAGACAGCCGCAGATCATCGGCTTCTGGGCCGTCCCCTTCTCCTCCTCCCCATTCCCTCTCCTCTCCCTCGCCGCCCTCTTCCTTCTCGTCCTCCTTCTTCGCCTCCCTCCTCTTACAAGCTCCTCCCCCTCCAGCACCTCCTCCTCCTCCTACTTCGCCTCCTCCCCGCTCCCCTTCCACCTCTCAGTCCTTCTCTATCCTTTCCCCCTTCAACTCCATCATTGTCATCCTCCTCAGTCGCATCGTCCTCCCCCTCCTCCTCCTCCTCCTCCTCCTCCTCCTCCTCCTCCTCCTCCTCCTCCGTCTACTCCTCCTCCTCCTCCTCCTGCTCCTCCTCTTCCTCCTCCTGCCCTCCTCCTCCTCTTCCTCCTCCTGTTCCTCCTCCTCCTGCCCTCCTCCTCTCTCCCTCCTCCTCCTCCTTCCCGCATATTTGCCCCCGACCTCTAAGATGACCTACAATGTGAAGAGGGAAACTGAAGCATACCATCCATGCAAGAAGACGATGTCAGATGCCAAGCAAATGCCACTGAAGAGGTTCGGGGATGTGTCCCGAACCTGGACCACCGCAGAGAAGTTGCGAAGCGAGGATGTTTGCACATGCACCGTCTGGGGAACCTATGCCACGGGACCCTGGGACCCCAGGGGGGCGGTGGAGATGGATACACGTCAGCAGGAATGAACGATTGGAGGACCCGGAAGGAAGAGATGGACCCAAAACACGTCAACTGGATACCTGTCCAGTGGACCCGGGAGGAAGATGGCAGCAGCAGGCACGGGACGGATGCCGTGGGCGTCCTGTCCGTGTACTGCCTGCCCACTATTCTGGCGGCCTGTGGTGCATGTCGCAACCCGCAACTGCGGAGAAGAGTGGAGCCGAGGCGGCTCGGCGCAGCGTCCTTGCAGTCAAAACGTATATCAAGGACGGCTGATGAGGACGCAAGACCCTTGGAGACCGAAGTTCGTTTTTTGGGGCGGCGGGCGACCAGTGATGATCGCAAGGACGAGCCTCAGAGGCAAGGACACAAGGGCACCCTAGATGAAGGCGCGCGTCCTTACTAGGCGCGTCGAATGTAGGTCCAAGCGAATTCCTCAGAAGAGGTGCGTCCAGGAGGCTGCTGTCGGCGCCATGCGGGCAGCGAAGGAGCAGTGGGACGAAGGAGGGGGAAAGCAAGGCCGCTGGAGGCATGACCTTCTGAACTGTGCCTGGCCTCTTCGGGACACCCTTGGGCCTTCTGACAGCCATCTTTCGGCGACTACAATGGGTTCGGTTTGCGAAGGGTGCGTTTTGCCTCCCGTCATACCTGCCCCTCCCGCCCCCGGGAAACGGATGATACTGTCACTCAATGCGACCGAATCACATGACACTGTCGCTCCATCTAGCACAGTGGAGCACACATCGAGAATAACAGTGCCGCTCGAGACGACGACAGTTTTGATATCGTCCCTCACAAAATGCCCCGGAAAGGCCGCCACGAAGCAACTCGCCAACCGCACCCGGGCGCAACCGCACCGATTGTAGTCGCCGAATCTTGGCCATCGAGGCGAGAACTTCGTTAGACCGGGCAGCTCTCGGAGCGCCAGAGTGAACCGCCGAGAGCTGGCTCGTGTGGGTGAAAGCGGCTACGTGCACGGGTCGTGGACTGAGGGCTCCGGGAAGCTCCTGGGAGTCTGTTGGGAGGCCTCGTGTGAAAGCATCTTGGGACCCTGGGTGGCATCTCAGGAGGGTCCTGGAGGCCTCCAGGAGGGTCTTGGGGGCATGCTGGGCCCTGCATCCGCCAAGACAGTGCCCCCAGAACCCTCTTGGCACCCTCGTTTCGTCTCTGTTTGGGCTCCATTGGGGCCGTCTTGGAAGCCTTGTGGGCAGCATGAGGGCTCTGCGGGGCTGTGTTGAGGCCCTCGTGGGCCATCTAGAGGCTCTGTCGAGCCGTCCTGGGGCCCCCTCGGGCGCCTCTTGGGCTATCCTGGACGCTGTTACGATCCACACTGCGAATGACCTCAAAATGCGCCTTCCGTCTTCCGAAAGGGCTGGCAAGATGCTGGCATCCTCATGCGGGACCCGATAATTTACACCACCACCACGTTGATTCCTGGGCCCCGTACCTCAGGCACTCTCTTGGAGGGGAGTTCGTGGATCGGCGCTGAACCCAACGCGCCACAGTTCGGCCGTGCATGCCACACGCATCTGTCGGCTTCGTGCGCTTCTCGTTCCGCGAGGTGATCAACGATGCTCCTCGACGGTCCTCGCGGGGGAAAAAGCACACGTCCGAGCGCCTCGCGCCAGGGGCGGCGCCAAAGGCGCTGCCAGGGAGGGCCAGCGCCGGTCCAGGAGGTAGGCTCGAAGCTCCGAAGATCTATATTTGTGCAGTTGCAGCGCTTCTTCGATGGCAACCAGGGCTGAACATGAACAGTGTACTTCATTTTCGTGTTGTTGTTCGTTGTTCCTGGTTTTGCCTGCGCTTCGCCTTGAATGCAAAACGAAACGAAAAATCAAACGGCCTACGAGATGGCCAAATCACCGCTTTGATCCAGCCCTGATGGCAACTGACCCGGGCGAACTGACTTCGCGCCTAGCGCACCCGCGGAGCGCGACGCGCAATAGCCTTCGCGCGACCTCGCGCCCTCGCACCGCCCGGTTGAATCAGGGCAACGTCTCTGGCCCAGACCCCCCTCCTCAGACTTCCTCGATCCTCCTCGACCCCCCCCCTCCCCCCAAAACCTCTTCTCGATCCTACCCGATGCTCCTCGATCCTCCCCGATCCTCCCCGATACTCCTCAGTTCTCCTCGGTCCTCCTCGATCCTCCCCGAACCTCCTCGATCCTCCCCGATCATCCTGCAACTTTCTCTGCGATGGCCCCTGACCCCCGCTACTCTCGCGCCCCGGCGGGCGGGCCTCGTTGGGGCCCCGGGCGAAGCTCTGGTACAGCCGGATGTACTCGGGGCTCAGCGCGTAGATCCACGTAAACTTGTCCTGGGCGCCCCGCGGGTCCGTTTCGCCGATCGACGCGAGAGGACCGAGGCGGACACAAACAAGGCAAGTGCAGATAGAGCTCAGGAACTCCAGGCAAATCCTAGAACATCCAAGTATATCCGCAGATCTCCAAGGACATGAGAGGCAAATCGTGGCCCCTCCAGCGCGAGCCGAGTGACAGCAGAAGACGCCAAGCTTCTAACGAGCTGGGGTTCCCGTACAAGGGCACACTCCTCCAACTCCTCAGCCTCGTCTAAAGAAACAAACAAACTGCAGGAGGATCAACTGTCGGCGGTCCGCGGTGATTCCTTGGATCGGCAATGAACCCGACCTCCCTGGCGCTCGGAGCGGGCCACGGGAAACACCGGATGCGCAGCGAGCGAGGCCCCTTGACGATTCCGGAGACTCGCGCGGAGCTCCGAAGATGTCTGCTCGTGCCGCTTCCTCTGCTTCGATCCTCAGACCCGCCGCCGTCGTCGTCGTCGACGCCAATCGATCGTGTGTGTGTGTGTTGCTTTTCCCCCACGTGTGCTTTTTGTGTGTGTGTGTGTTTTTGTGTTGTGTTTTCTTCCCCCACGTGTGTGTTTGTTGTGTGTTCTGTTTTGTTGTTGTTTCCCCCCACTGTGTCTTTTTTTTGTGTGTGTGTGTGTGCTTGTCCCCCACAGTGTGTTTTTTTGTCCCCCCACGGGATCGAGGCGCTGTGGGCACGTTTTCTGTGCGGCCCTCCACGCCCGCTGGAGGCCCCGGAGCGAGCCCGCCCTCCCGCACGCGGCGCTCGAGGCATCGAGGCGTGTCTGCCCTGTGGGGCGCCCAAGGCCCGCTGGAGGCCTCGGAGGGCCCTCCGCGGGCCCTCCAGCTGAGCAGGGACCGACCGCCCCGGCATTCCTACAGTCAAAACGTATAGTAAGGACGCGAGGTAAGGACGCAAGACCCTTGGAGGCCGAAGTCGGATTTTTGGGGCGGGGCGGCCAGTGAAAACGGCGAAGGACGGGCCGCAGAGGCAAGGACTCAAGGGTACCCTAGAGGAAGGCGCGCGTCCTTACTAAGCGCGTTGACTGTGTAGTCCTGCCACGAAACGTTCTCGGAGCCCAAAAATGCTCGAAGAACAGAAGCCCGACGTGTTCAAACAAAACAGCCCCCGGCCAGAAATGTTCTGAGAGCACTTCGTGGGAGCCACAAAAGGTTCTTAGAGCATTGTTTGGCAGGGCTATAGAGGCGAGCCGGGACGCTTCGCCACTGCTCGAGGACGGGAGGGAAGAAAAGGAGGAGGAGGAGGAGGAGAAAGAGGAGGAGGAGGAGGAGGAAAAGGGAGAGGGGGGGGAGGAGGAGGAGGAGGAGGAGGAGGAGGAGGAGGAGGAGGAGGAGGAGGAGGAGAGGAGGAGGGGGGAGAGGGGAGGAGGAGGAGCAGGAGGAGGAGGAGGAGGAGGAGAGGAGGAAAAAGGGAGAGGAGGAGGAGAAGGAGAGGAGGGAGGAGGAGGAAGGAGGGAGAGGGGGAGGAGGAGGAGGAGGAGGAGGAGGAGGAGAGGAGGAGAGGAGGAGGAGGAGGAAGGGAGGAGGAGGAGGAGGAGGAGGAGGAGGAGGTGGGAGGAGGAGGAGGAGGAAGGAGGAGGGGGGGGGGGAGGAGGGGGAGGAGGGACGAACGAAGCCTCGGAAGGACCTCCGCGGGCCTTCCCGGGGCCCACCGCGGGGCCTCCCGAGGGCGCGCGGCGCCGTGCCTCGGGCCGCACCTCCACGGCGGCCGGGCAGCCCCCAAGACCCTCGAGGGAAGAGGAGGAGGTGGAGGCTCGGGCGCGCGGGAGGCGACGGAGGAGGGAGGGAGGAGGGAGGAAAAACGAGGAGGTCCTCGAGCACGGCCTGGACCTAGAAACTTCGAGCGTAAATGTGTGTAACATATACACATGCGCACCCAGAAATGCATCGATGCACACCACGGCACACCCAGAACTTCTGTCAAAATCTTGGGATTCACATTGAAACGTTAAGAATAGTCGAGACTCTGGCCGAAAACGTAAGTTTTCTTAAGCATCGCCTAAGGTGTATACACATGCACACCCAGACATGCATCGATGCACACCACGGCACTGCTGCAGGCCAGGATGACCAGCGAGCTTGCCGGCTCCGCCGGCAGGGCCTCCGTGCTGCCTGCGAGCCTCGCAAAGGCATGCGGCGCTTCGAAGGCCCTCGGGACACCGTCCCGCGCGCGGGAAGGCCCGCTGGGCCTCCCCGGCGAAAGTGGCGCGCCCGAGGGGCGCCACGCGGTTGAGGCGCAGAAGGGGGGCGAACTCCTCGATCCAGAAACCTCGAAGCCTTCCCGGACTCCCAGGTCGCAGGCCAGAGACCCTGAGAGTGCGGCTCGGCGGTGGGCAAGCCTCCCTTTCGTAGACCTCCCCTGAAAGAAAACGGCCTGGGACCGAAACCGACGGACCTGGACCCGCGAAAACGACGGCCGCGACGCCCCCTCGCGAACCGAAAACGGCCAATTCCTGAATCGACGTGTCGGGGCAGGAGGTCTGCCCACCGTCCTTCATCCATCCTTGCCCGCCCCGTCGTGCCCGTCAGGAGGAGGAGGAGGAGGAGGAGAAGGAGGAGGAGGAGGACGGAGGAGGAGGAGGAGGAGGAGGGAAGAGAGGAGGAGGAGGAGGAGGAGGAGGGAGGAGGAGGAGGAGGAGGGAAGAGGAGGGAGGAGGAGGAGGAGGAGGAGGAGGAGGAGGGGAGGGAAGAGGAGGAGGGAAGAGGAGGAGGAGGAGGAGGACGAGGAGGAGGAGGAGGAGGAGGCCGGGGGCCCCGCCGAGCCAGGGCCAGAGATCCGAGGGCATCCCGCCTGCCCTCCTCTGCGCGCTGCCATGCCCTCGGGGGCCGCCCGGCCTCGGGGCGGGCGGCGAGGAGCGCACGCCGCGAGCTCGACCTGGCACGTCGGCGTGGCCGCGGCTCGGAGAGCGGCCTGCGCCAAAGTCGGGTCGGGCGAAAGGGGGGGATGGCAAAGGGGGGCTTCGAGAATCCGCTCGCGTCGCTGAGTTTCCCGGCGCCTCCCGGCGCCTCCTGGCGCCGGAGGCGACGATGTATCGAGGAATGGGCCCCTCGGTGGGGCCGAAACCAGCTGCATGCAGCAGATGTTGTACCCCCCCCCCTTTCCCAATCCCCCCTTTCGTCCGGCCCGACAAAGGCAAGGGCCTGAGCGGCAGGGCCACCGTCGGCGGGCACAGCCAGCTCTCCAGGCGCGCCGCGGGCCTCTCACAGAACGATCTGCACTGACCTCTCACCTCTCGCCTCCCCCGTCTTCGCCCGCCAACACCTCCTCCACCCCGACTCCATCCACGCCACCCCCTCGAACCCAGGCTGCGCTGAGCTCAGAGCAGCTCGCCAAGCCAAAAGCAAACGTGGCAACGGGAAACACATGGTATCGGAGCTACGCTGCATCCAACAAAAAAGATCAGACTGATCCCACTACTGTTTTGACCGTGCCTCCATCCTGTTGCTCCTTAGTGCTCCTCGTTTCCTCTACCAGCGACAACTCGCAAAGGGAACGGTTCACGATGGGCTTGCGGGGACGCTGTGAAAGTGTCGAGAATTTCCCTGTTCCTGACAGCCTCCTGCCGTCCCCGCTCAGTCCCCTATGTTCCTCCCCGTCGCTCCACAGACCCGACCCATCAACTTCGTTCTCCTCGTTCCCATCCCCCTGCTCTGCCTCTCCTGATTAAGCTCATCCTGCTCGCAACCTTAGTCCTCATCCTCCTCACCGTCCATTTGCGGCTCGTCCTTTTCCCTCTCTTGCTCTCCTCCCATGTCATCTCTCCCCACCACTTCCTCCTACTCCTCCAACGTGTCCAACCCAACTTCCATCTGCGCGCCGGATGTACCTCCTTCTGCTCCGTATCCGCCTCTTTCTCCTACTCCTCCTCCTGCTCCTCCTCAGCTTGCTGCTGCTGATCATGTTTCTCCTCCTCCTCACCTCCCCATCCTCATTCAAGCTACTACGCCTTCTAATGCGACTCCCTCCTCACCATCACCCCTCCATCCCTAATCCTCCTGCCTCCCGCATCATCGCTCATTCCTTTAGCAGTTACCCACCCCTCGTCCTCTTCCATCCTCATCCGCCCCATTGGGCTGCCGCTGCCCTCCTGCGACGGCATCACCAGCCCACGTACGCTCCTCCCGGCGGGCGAGAGGCAGGACGAGGCAAGTCCTACAGGCTGTGTGCACCGTGAGGCCGCTGGGCCGAGGCGCTGATCGGCCGAGGGGCTCTGAGGAGCTCAGGGAGTCGAGCTTCAGGAGGATGAAGTGGGGAGGGCGGGTGGACTGATGAGCAGATGGCCGCCGATGCGATGGGCTCAGGATTGTTGGTCTGGATTGCTGCGGGGTTGTTGGGCAGAAGGGCTGCTGTGTCGAGGATATCGGCTGAGAGGCTCTGATGAGCTCATGGAGTCGAGCTTCAGGCTGGTGAAGTGGGGGGGGCGGATGGACTGATGAGCAGATGGCCGCTGATGTGATGGGCGTACAGTCGGACCTAAGCCAGAAGAACATCCTTCGAGAACCTATAACATGAGACTCTCCGTCGGCCAAAACAAACAAAACATCCAAGGGTACCCTCCTCAGGGTGCACAAGAACATCGAACAGACACGAAGAACACGAGGGTACCCTCCCCAAACCGACCTCGGTCTTATACCTCGGTCCGACTGTAGGATTACTGGTCTAGATTGGCACGGGGTTGACGGGCAGAAGGGCTGCTGTGCCGAGGACTGCTTGTCCGATGGGATGGCTGGTTCGCGTGCTGATGGGCTGAAGATGCCTTCGTCGGAGGCGAGGAAATGAGAGCCGCCCTAACGGAAATCGTTTTCGGCTTCGTGTTCGTGTCGTGCGTGAGGGCGAGGCGAAACTGCGTGGGCGGGCGAAATGGCTGAACCCTGCTCTGGCTAGAGCGCCGCCAGGCCACAAAACCGCTCCTCCCCCCTATAATTGGCCAGCGGTGGCCGAGGGTTTCCCGCCTGTCTCCCGTCGGTGTCCCGAAATGAGATCGAAAAAGAGATCGGTAGTGAGACCGATCATGAGATCGGTAGGACGCTTGCCTTGGAAAACCATTTCCACACGTGGAACCGGCCCCACCACCCGAGCATTGAGCATGCCCTGAAAACCAGGAGGGGGGCCAGACGTCCGCCTCCCAAACTGGCACCCCCACCCCCGAAAGGGGAACTCGAAGTGGGCCCTCCCCCCCGCCCCCCTTTGTCCAGGGAGGGGGTGGGTCGAACCAGACAGCCCCCCCACCCCGTGCAAGGGGAGGGTGGGGTTCGAACAGCCCCCGCCCCCTCCCCATTATATAAAGTCCGCTGACCCTGTTGGCGTGCGGAATGGGTTGTTCGTCGTGGTTGTCCTCGTACGTGCTCGTTGTCTTCCTTTCTGGGTCCGTCGCCGCTCCCCCCTCTTTCCCTGGGCCCTCGTCCTCAAACGCGCCAGCCAAAGCGAAATGAAGCAACCCAGCCAAAGCGAAATTTACAACGCTGTCATTGAGTCGAAGGGAGACGGCACTCCGCGCGTCAAAGGTTGCCAGCAAAGGTTGTCAGCAACTGAGAGGACAAGGCACGGCCGTTTAAAGAATAGCCCTGGGAGCAGAAGCGCGGGGGAAGCCAGAATCCTCCTCCCTCCGAACCTATACTTCCACTCCAACCCTGAGGCAGCGAGACCTCGGCCCTGTGCCCCCGTCAGCGGAGCGTCGGCCCAGTTGGCCAAAATGCGCTCGAGCACAGCGGTATGCATGTCAGCACAGGACGAGTGTCCGAAGGCGGCCGAACTACCGAGTCATGATCTGCCTGATGGCAGATTCCGCCAAGTGTGCAAGTATCAACGGCAAGTCGCGCCTCGCGTCACGACCACGCTCGTGCTCCTCCCCGTCTCGTTCCGCCTCCCCTTTCTCAGGGCACCTGCTGGCAAGGCGATCCACAAGTGTGGATTGCTTCTCCTTTGGGGAGTGAAGATAAAATCAGCCCTGCGCTACGGCTTGGCATACCACCTGTACATCTCATCGCGCTCACCCGTAAGTCTTGGCTGGACTGGCTCTCTTGCGCAGCTGGTCTCCTTGCTGTGCACGTCCATCGGCATGTGACCGACGTCTGAATTTGAAAACGGCCCGTATTGGCGAGGCCGGCGCAACTGGCGTGGTCTCCATGATGTCATACGACTTATGAGATGAGGACTTGCCGGTCACCTTCCGGCACAAAGCCAACACCGCTGCCCCGACCGCGCCTTGCAAGATCTTGAACCCATCCAGGCCTGCCCCTGGCGAATGTGCACGAGCACTGACAGGATCGATGGCTGTCCCCATCCGCGTTCCAGGCTGACCTAACTCCTCCGCGGACGCCCCCGCCTCGCGCTGCAGGTCGTGCGGGTCTTCGGGATGTGGTGCGCGAGCCCTCACGACGCCAGCCTTGCGAGAGAACATTGGCTCGTGCACGTTGACGCCGAACGTCGATGGCACGTAGCCTTAGGTCGGGCCTGTCCCCCTACAGGGTTTTTTTCGTCGAAAATCACCATGCAGGGGCCTTTTCGGCTTCCAGACGCTCCAAGACGGCCCAAAAGGCCCCCGAGATCGCTGCAAGACGGCCCAAGAGGCCTCTAAGAGAGCCCCCAAAGCGTCAAGCAGGACTCGAAGACGACTCATGAGGCTCCCAAGACGGCCCATGAGGCTCCCAAGACGGCCCAAGATGCCTCCAAGACGGCCCAAAGGTGGTGCCCAGAGGGGGGACCCAAATACACATGTCGAGCCTTCGGCCCCAAGATGGCTCCGACAGCCTCTCAGAGGCCCACGAGACGCCCACAAGAAGCCCCAATGAGGCCCCCGAGAGGCCCCCGAAAGGCCCCAAGAGGCCCCCAAGAGGGCCCCACGAGGCCTACAAGACGCCTCCAAGAGGCCCACGAGAGGCATCCCAACGTACATGGTATGCATCCGTTTCGCCTTCAACCGAGAACCCAGGCATGGTGGCGGGATGGGCCGAAAACCATTCTATAGTGAGATCGAAATATGTACAACGGGAAAGTTGATATACAAATGCGTGTTGCGAATCCGATCCGACGCCAATGGCACACCGGAAGCTGCACCAAGTCCCGGCAATAAAAAACTGCTTGCTCATCGCCCGAAGGGTGTGCTTCTCGCTGTAGTATCACCGCGTGCCTGGCATGATCGTGCACTGCTCCACGCACTCCTGCCTGATGGGACCGTCCAGGCTGGGAAGAACTTACCGCACGTACCTCATACTGTCATGTCTGATTCCGTTCGTCTGTGTTTACGTGAAGCTGAAAAGCGTGTCAAAGGGAGCCTGACAGGGATAGCCAAACACGCGCAAGGACCCGCAGGGACCAGGAGCCCCCCGCTGTCCGTCCTGTCCCCTCTCGCTCACTCACAACCAGTCCGCGCCCTCGCTCCATCCTCTCCCTCTGAACCTCCCCCTCCCCCACCCCTCCCCCTTCTCCCCTGGCTCCCCCTCTTCTCCAACTCCCCTGTTCTCCCTCAGCCTCACTCTGATCCCCTCCCCCATCCCCTCCGCCTCCACCCTCCCCATTTCCTTCCGCCCCACCAACATTCCCCCTCCCCTCCCCTCCCCGCTCCCCCTCGCCTCCCCCTCCCTCCCTTCTCCTCGCTTCTCCTCCACCCCCCCCCCTTCCCCAGCGGGGCGGGGGGGGCGGCCCCTCCTGGTCCTCGTCGCCGTCGTCCTCTGCGTGTTCATCCTCGTCCACTCAAAAGGGGGGCCAGTCGAGGCATCTGTGGCACTCTCTGGCGTTCGTAGTTTCTTCTGGGCATCCAGGAGGCTTCTCGTCGCCACGGCCGCTGCCAAGCGCGCGGCGTCCTCCGCTGGAACCACGACAGAAGCCGCGAGACCACCTCGTTCACGCCGAACCTGGGCGGCCAGGGGGCGGGCGGGCCACCATCAACACGGGCTTAATGGGCTCTAAGGTCCCTTGGCTCGCGCTGGATCTTCCACGATTTCTCAACAACCCACCCGGGTACATTCTGGGCTTGCCTCGACCTGTCGAGATTAACATCGAGTTGTGTAGTCGATGGGAGAAGAGTCGCTCAGCCCGCCGGGACGCCCCCTCCCCCTCCTGCGGCCCTGATCCTGCTCCTCCTCCTCATCATCATCAGCATCATCAGCATCCTCATCCTCATCCTCCTCATCATCGCTCGCATCATCATAATCAGCATCATCACCATCAACATCATCAGTATAATAATCACCATCATCCTCGTTCCCTTTCCCGTGTCCTCCCCCTCCTGTCCAGAACCATCAGGATGACTGGATCGGTCACACTGAAGCCGCACTGGGGCACTACACTAGCGTGTAGCCTGATCAAAGAAGTCAGCTAGAAATATGTTGGCTCAGAACTTGAGTCCCACCAGCCCTCTGGGCGTAGGTGGTCTAGAGCAGATCCTCTTCCACCCCTCCCTCTTCCCCCTTGGGGAGGGGTTTACCCCTCCCCCTACCCCCTCCCCTGGACCTGGACGGGGGGGGCCGCGGGTAGTTAGAGCGTCCAAGATGGCCCAAGACGGCTCCAAGAGCGCCTCAGAGAACCCAAGATGAGCTCCAAGATGGCTCAAGATAGCGCAAGATCGCTCACGATGGCTCCTAAGATGGTTCCAAGAAGCCCAAAGACGGCCCCAAGATAACTCCAAGTGGCCAAACAGCTCCCCAAGGAGGCCCCGAAGAGGCCAAAATCGTCCCAAAACCTAAGGAAAATCAATGATTTTTGCTTTCTCGCCTTTTCGCTTCCGATGGCCATCCGAGGCCTGGAGATGGCTCCAAGATGGCCCAAGAGGGCCCCAAGAGAGCCCCAAAAGAGCCCCAAGACGGCCCCAAGAGCGCCCAAGAGCACTCCAAGAGCGTTCCAAGAGGGGTCCAAGAGGCGATTTTAGGGGCTTCCGAGGGGGGGCGCTAATTAAACCCCCCCTCTTGTTTGATCGACTCCCTCCAAGATGGCCCCAAAAGCGCCCCGAAGGCTCCCCAGAGCGCCTCAAGAGGGTCCCAAGAGGCGCCCAAGATGCCCCAAGGCGCCCAAAAAGCCCTCCAAGAGGCCCTCAAAAGACCCCCAAGAAGCTCCTTCCCCTCCTCCTCCTCCTCCTCCGATTCTTCCTCCTTCTCCGTCCTCCTCCTCCTCCTCCTCCTCCTCCTCTTCCCCCTCCTCCTCCTCCTCCGACGACGACGACGACGACGACGACGACTCCTCTTCCATCCTCCCCCTCTCGGGGTCTGTGACAGCTTCCCCCGCCCTTTGTTATTCTGCATGCTCCCCGACTTCCCTGATCACCTCAACTCCCCTGAGCATCGTTTCTGGATGGGCTGGTGGGGATACGCGAAGCGTCAACAATTTCACCTTCACAAGCTCGTGCAAACCTGGGCACCCAGATCCGAGGCATGCGGCAGACAAGGAGCAACAACAGAACTGACCAGCGAGAATACAAAACGTACACAACGAGTGCAATCAGTACTCGCAGGCCCCTCATTGAACTTGAACGTTGCCAGAGCATGCTTATTGCCACGCGTGTCCGCCCGTCCTTGCACAGCTAAGACAGTGGGAACGGGCTCATGCAGGGGTACAAGCTGGGGAACTGGGGGTTCCGTTTGGATTGCTTCGGAGGATGCCCACAGTCAAACAGGCCGTCCTCAAAATTCCATCCTCATACTGCACTGCTGTTGCTGCTCCTGCTGCTGCTGCTGCGGCTGCTGCTGCGGTTGCTGCTGCTGCGGTTGCTGCTGCTGCGGTTACTGCTGTTGCTGGTGTTCCTCCGCCTCCGTGAGTGGTTCCTCTCCTCCTCCTCCTCCTCCTCCTCCTCCTCCTCCTCCCTGTCCCCCTGCAAGTTCTACATGTTCTACAATCATACATTCTGAATACTACTCTCCTCTCCCCCCTGACTCTATCGCGAAGATGGTCGTCCCTATCGGCGTTGTTGCCCCCCCCCCCCACGTATACACACACAACGTTTCCACAGCCGACTCCCGTATGGAAAATTTACCATCCAATTGATTTCAGTCCTTCACAAGAATGCTCCCGCTGCATCGGGCCTCGCGCTAGGATTGGCGAGTTGCCCCCATCGTTGAAAACTACAATTTAGCCCCACAGCGGGCCTCTTTTCTGCTTCCGAGTCTTCCTCATCGTTGTCAGCTACATCCTTTCCCCTCCTCCGCCTCCCCTGGTCCTCCAGTCCATCCTGCTCCTTGTAGTCGAACTCCTGTTGCTGATTTTCGTATTCGTCCTCCTTCATAAATTCATCCTCCTTTTGAATAACTCCCCCCGTCGCACCCCGAAGCGTGTCGAAATGGCGGGTCGGGCGTTCCGCATGAAACGCCCTCACCATCTATGATCCGTGAGCTGAGAATTCGCAACCGTTTCACTGATGATATGTGGCTCTCGCCTCAACGCCGCACACATTCGCTTTCAACTTACAACAGCTTCGCGCATGGAGGGCGGGTGGTTTTCAAAATGTGACTCTTCCCCTAGCGCCGCACACATTCATGCGCACTCATAGTTTGCAAGAACCCCCCGGTCTGAAATTGGCCCCTTTTCAAAATGTCACTCTTCCCTGAGCGCCGCGCACATTCCTCTGAAGAGGTTGCAACCGTTTCAAAGATTCGGGCGGCTGGAGTCCCAAGAACTGTGTGTTGGCAAGGCGTCGGAATGTCAGGGCGCAACGGCCACGTTGGTCCGTTGTGTTGAATTCCCAAGAAAACTGTAATGGTGCGGTTCGGGATCGTCAAAACGCAGCAATAACGGTTGTTCAATGCGTTGGAATCCCGGGAATGGCCGGTTGGCACAATTCTAGATTCAACGGCTGTCTTCCAACAGGGCAACTCCCTCAGTACAAAATCAATGGTAAGGGCATAAGAATCAAGAACATGGACGGACCGTTCATAGCAATACGCTGATGAACACTGGGATTGACTCATCCTGTGAATCCTCCTGTTCATCCGCAACCTCTTCCTCCTCCGATGTCCGCAGTCTCCCATATTCGATATCTCATAACACGATGATGGAGTCGCGTTTGGCATCCCAGGCCCATTAGGACACGAGTCCACAAATAAAGAAAACTCGACCCTGGGTGAAGGATTGGGTTTGAGGGGTAGGATGACAAATATGGCGCGGGCGCGCCAAACTTGACCTATACCCTCACCAGCCCTGCAATCACCTTGGTCCCCCCCCTGCTCGTGACCACTCGATGTCCTTCCCTTCGTCCTCCTCCTCTAGCATGGGGGGGAAGGGAAAGCATGGGAGGGCGGGAAAGGGAGCAAGGGTGGAATAGGGGGGGAGCGAGCTACCTGGGAGCCCCACCAGAATTCTGGCGCGGATGGCGCAAGGAGTCCGATGGCTAAAAAGGCCCTCGATAGCCCAAGATGGTTTCCAAGATCGCCCTGGGAACGCCCTGAAGCTTTCAAAATAAGCTCCATCATGCCTCCAAGATGTTTCGAAACCGCTGCAAGATGGCCACGAGCAAGTAGCCACGGACACTCCCCAAGGACGCCGCCGAGAGAACAGACCCGGTCCAACACACATCGGTAGTTAATGGTCGTGGCGGTCTGACCATTTCTCGGTTCCAATGAGCTGTTGAAGCCGCAATTCGGCTCCAAGCCGGCCCCAGAAAGCCCCGAGTGGGACCCAAAAGGGCCACCAAGACTGTTCCAAGAGCACCCCAAGAGAACCCCCTCGAAGGTCCTGCGAGGCTAGCGATCACCCTCTGACGGGGGGAATGTAAGTCGTCGTCTCCCCTCTTCAAGCAACGGCCTACAACATGGCCCGAGGAACGCCCCCAAGGTCCCCCTGAACGGCCACGCAGAAGCCCCAGGAACGATTTGGTGACTATCAAACGGACCGCAGCAAAGTTCTAATGGAGCTCCAAGATCGATTGAAGCTGACCCACGAGATTTCAACACTCGCCGTCATTGGCCCCCTCGCTTCACCATATGTTTCTGGGCACCGCGATCCCTACAAGTCGTCATTGGTCCGTCTCCACTTCTTCGTCCTTTTCCGACTTCCAGTGGCAAACTGCGCGAGGGCAGCTCGACTGGAAATCGAACCTGGATGGCCAGGTATATGGTTTGGCACGCGGGCGCGCGAAACGAGTCAAACGCCGGGCGTGCAGGGGCAGGCTGCGCCAACGGAAAAAAATGCGAGCTACGCAAGGCAGCGAACGGGACGGAGCGCAGCGCGGCCAGAATGGCGCGAAGGGCACCTCGCAGCGGCGCAGGGACCACGATGAGGACGCCAGACTGAAAGCCGAAGCAGTAGAGGAGCCCCACGGCGACGATGACGTAGGTCACGCAGCCCCACGAAGGCGAATCCGGAAAACAGGGGCCCACCCAAGTTCCCCAGGTAGCCTGCGGAACGCGCGGCCCCTAAACCCAGTACACTTCGAGGACGCGCGCCTCCAGAAGCGCGCCTGGTGGAAACACTTTTTTGGTTCGCGGCTCCAAGGCGAGGGACAGGGAGCGGGCACAACGTCCGGGGCGCGGTACGATGTAAATTGGCCGCAGTGGCGTGTGCACATGCAAGGGACAAAATGCCCCTCATTAAGACGCAAGACCTTGGTGGAAACACATGGAACGTCAAGAACTTGACCACCTCAGTCGGCGTGGCAAGGAGGGGGAGGAAAGAGGAAAACGGGGGGAGGGGGAGGAGAGTGGAGGAGGGGACGGAAGGGGAGATGGAGGAGCAGGGTGAAGGGGAGGAAGGGGAGCGGGACAGGAATGAGGAAACGGAGGTGTCCCGACCTACTTGGGGGGTTCCAGGAGGCCTCCAGAGCCAAGCACGCTCAACACTCACCAAAAAAACGAAGTAAATGAATGTTCTGCTTCCAATGTACGCCGAGGAAGTTCGCATTCGAGAAGACATGTGACCGACAACGTACAAGGCTGAACACAGAGCCAGAAGAAAACGTTATCACGCTCGAGCGCAGTATCGACGAGGAGCGATGATACAGTTCCGTCTCAATCCTCCTCCCTCCGCATCCCCTGCTCGATTCCCTCCTCCTCCTCCTCCTCCTCCTCCTCCTCTTCCTTCTCCTCCTCCACCTCTAGACGGGGGGGCATGGAAACGAGATGGCCATGTACAGCCCTTTCCCCTCCTCCGACTTTCGGCTCCCCCCCTCCTACTCCCCTGATTGTTTTCATATTCTGCGAAGGGGGGGAATGGGAGAGGAATGACGTGAATCTGTAAGGACGTGTTAAGGAACTATGTGGATTTGTGGGGAGTGCCCTGTAGCAACGCGCTTCGGACGCTGCGTCAAATTCAGGAGCAGAAAGCGATGACGGCGATCCCGCGCGCGCGCGGCTGCGAAGACGAGGCAAGGCCCAGGAACACAAATCGAGGATCCCTGAGATCCGGCGGTCTTGAAGATGTATCCGCTCGCCGCGGCCTCTCCAGAGCGCCCCAGAGCGCTCTGAGACGGCTCCGAAGGCGCCAAAACGACCGATCCTGGCCCCAGCGCCCGACCTGGCTCCTCTCCCCTGTCCCCAGACAACGGGCGATGCGACGTTTCCAGTGCCCTAGGCACCCCGACCACCCCTTTGGGGTAGTTTGCCCTCCAGGGTTCCCATCAGAGGTCCCGGAGACCGAGAGCGGGCCCCGAAGGTCGACATCGAGGAGAGACGCTCTGGAGCGATTCGAACCGGTCCTGGCCACGCTCGAGCGTTTGAACTGCACCCGCCGGTGCCCAGCTCGGACACGATCCGCGCGCTGGCTGGCTTCCTCAGATGTTTGGTCGATGCCTGCCGCCGGGGGCGGCCAAGAGAGGGACGTGAAAGAGAGGGGGGGGCGCAAATCATGGTCAGCGGCGCGTTGGCGGCCCAGGGGGGGGGGCGGGGGAGGAGGAGGAGGAGGAGGAGGAGGAGAGGAGGAGGGAGGAGGAGGAGGAGGAGGAGGAGGAGGAGGGACGTACTGAGATAAGAAGAAATAAGTGGAGGCGCCACGAAATCTGGGGGGATCAGCTGGCTCCCGCCATGAGATCGACCCCCCCCCCTAGTCATCACCCCCCTCTTGGCCGCCCCCGACGGCCTCGTGCCAGCCTCTTGCCTGCTCCCTGCGCTGGCTGGGCCCCCTGGGTTTCCGCCTGAAGCCCGCAGGCGCGCCTTCGGGCCCGGCCTCGCCGCGCGGCGAGAGAGGGCGGAGGATGCCTCGGGTTTGCGGAGGGGGGGGGGAAGGGGGGCCGACGGCCGCGACGGTGCACGAGGAGCATCGTGTAGAAAATGCTGCCCCTGTTCCTCCTCCTCCTCCTCCTCCTCCTCTTCCTCCTCCTCCTCATCATCATCATCCTCCCCCTCCTCCCCCTCCCCCTCCTCCTCCTCCTCTCCTCCTCCTCCTCCTCCTCCTCCTCCTCCTCCTCCTCCTCCTCCTCCTCCTCCTCCTCCTCCTCCTCCTCCTCCTCCTCCCCCTGGTACTCCTCCTTTTCCTCTTGCGCGTTCTCCATGAGCCTCCCTGATCCTCCATCGTCCTCCCCCTCATCGCCATCCTGCTCATTCCTTATCCTCCTACACGACCTCCTTGCCAATGAATGAGGCGTTTCGCGTACAGCACACAATCCTTGCCTCTGTTCCCCCTCCCCCGCCCCGACAGCCTCCTCCCCTGTACACCCCCCTTCACCCTCATTCTCCCCTCACCGCCATTATGCTCCTCGTACCTCCTCCTCCTCCAAAAACAACAACAACTCCTCCACCTCATCCTCCTCCTCCTCCTCTTTCTCCTCTTCCACCTCTCCTACCCACACTCCCGCTCCTGGGGACAACCGTCGGAGGAACTTGGCCCAGTGCATGAGAAGCATCGCGTACAGCATTCTGCTGCTTCTCTGCCTGACCAGCGCGAACTGGATGCTGATCGTCGAGATTCGGTTGACGAGGGTCTCCGGCGGTCGCAGTGGTGCGTGCGGCATACGGCAGAGCACAGGAGGCGAATGAAGTGGAAGGAGAACAATGGCGGAGGAGAGGGGGGAGGGAGGAGGAGGAGGAGGAGGACGACGATGACGACGACGACAAGGGGAACAGCGAGAGGCATGGGGATGATGATGCTGGTGACGATGCTGATAATGAAACTGATAACGATGCTGATAATGATGATGATGCAGTTGGGATGGCGGGTGGCAAACGAACTGAACGAAGACATGTGAAAACTAGAGGTGTGGCCAAAATCTTCTCACCATTGCAGCACATATCTTCCGCGTCCGTGCAAAATCTAAGCGAGCTCGATCTGGGCTTGCACAATCACGCTGCCTTGGCAGCGCCTGCAGCTGCCGCATGAGAGAGTCGTCCGGCCCACCAATGGCTGGCGACGAATTGCGACGGCGAGGAGGTGCAGGACGAGCGGCACCCCGTACCGCGATGACGATGACGATGACGATGACGACAGAGGTGATGAAGATGAAGATGCAGATGCAGATGCAGATGAACATTATGATGCTGGTGGTGCTGATGATGATGGCACTGATGGCGATGGTGCTGATGATGATGGAAATGATGACTGTGATGATGATGCAGATGCAGATGCAGATGCAGATGCAGATGATGATGATGATGATGATGGTGATGGTGATGGTGATGGTGATGGTGATGATGATGATGGCGTAGCTGATGATGATGACGACGAAGCTGAGGATGGTGGTGATGATGATTATGATGATGATGACGGAGATGGTGCGCATGACGAAGATGAAGACGCTGCTGCAGATGATGGTGATGATGGTCATGATCATGATGACGGTGCTGTTGGTGATGTAGATGGTTACAATGACGTAGATGGACAAGATGATGCGTTACTGGTGATGATGGTGGTGGCAAGGATGCTGATGATGAAGATGATGATGATGATGACGATGATGACGATGAGTGCTGATGATGGCCATGCTGATGATAACTATAGTGGTGGATACAATGATGATGATGATGATGATGATGGTGACGATGATGATGATGATGATGATGGTGGTGGTGATGATGGCAGTGATGGTGATCCTTTGCTGAGGAGGAGTATGATGATGGTGCTGCAATGATGGTGTTGTTGATGATGGTAGTGCTATCAACATACTAACGATAATGATAGCACTACGAACAATCAGAAGAATGGCAAAACTGATGATGATGCTGATGATGATGGTGATGGTGGTGAAGATGGTGATGATGTGATGATGCTGATGATGATGATGATGATGATGATGATGGTAGTGGTGATGATAATAATAATGATGATGATGATGATAATCACCCTTTCCGTCCGCTCCAACCCCCTGGTATCAGCTGTGAGTCGCAGAAGCACTGAGCGCACGTGATGCCACACAAATAAATAGCACTCCTGGGATGAAAGTGAGGGGGCGTGCGCGGAGTGGGTCGCGGGTGGATCGCGGGTGAGTCGCGGGGTGGGTCGCGGGAGGACGACAACAACAAACAACAAGCCAGCATAATCCGATCCACTGAATCCCACTCCACCCATGCACCCAGGGATGGTGTACAGTCGGGGCTTGATTGGAGAGGACACGCAAGAGGACACAAGACCCTTCCAAGGGCCGCATTGCCATAGGGATGTAGAAGGCATGGGTCGCGAAACACAGGACACAGGGGTACCCTTTGTGTGGCAGGGGCGACCTACGTAGACGAAGAAAAAACAACATAAATATTGATGTTCGACGATTTGCGCGGACTTCTTGGATTGGCGCTGGACCCCTCAGGCGGCGCCTCCAGCGCTGCCCCTGGCGAGCTCCGCGCGCCAGGAAGGGAGGCGAAGAGCAGATCCAATGAATCCGCGCGGACCGTCGAAGGTTTACGTTTCTGCAGTTCAAGGACAGGCACAAGATCCAGGCCAAGTTCTAGTCGAAAAAGAAGCCAAACCTTTGTGGGCCCCAGAAACGGCAGGCCCGTTTTTTCACCGTTTCCAAAAAAATGTCCCTTGAAAATGGAAACGGCCAAAAAACTGCGACTGGAAACAGCAAAAAAACGGCGCCAGTATTGGAACCAGAGCTGGAACCGGTCAAAAAACGGCGACGGAACCGGTAAAAAAACAGCGTCGGAACCGGCAAAAAAACGGCAAGACGGAACCGGTAAAAGAACGGCCCTGTAGTTTCCAAGGCCCACTAAGGGCCAGGCGCAGATCCAAGGAGTCTGCAGATCCACGCGAATGGTTTCGTTTCTGCTTCGGCTTGGTTGCGTGTCCGACCATGGACCCCTCGCTACCCATCGCTCCTGCCCCGTCTATTGCGGTCTTCGGAAGGTCTTCGGAAGGTCTTCTCACGGTCTTCGGCGACTCCCCGCGGTCTTCGGCGGCTTCTCTCGATCTTCGGCGCGCAAGCTGGGCGGCTGCGCTCCACAAGGGGTCAACCATCGAATGCCCAACTGTTGGGCCCAGCTTGCACATCGGCTCGTGGCCTCAGCGCCTGGGCAGCATCGCCGAACACGCCTTCGCGCCCGCTCCTGCTGCTCCAAGGCACCGATCCCACCGTGGCCCAGACCTCTCCTCCCGCGGTGCGCTCTGACCGGCATGTCGAAGCGAATCCAGCGGGGGTGACGAGGGCCTCCCAAGCTGCCCAGAGAGGCGAAAACGACGCAAGGGCAGCCGTGCAGTGCGGGCGCGGTCAAAAAAAAAAAACCTTCGCGAGAAGCCCATCCCTGAAAAGCCGCGCGCGAGGTGCATCTGGGGGGAAAACCGGAGCACCCTGAACGCAGCAGCTGCCCCGTGCAGCGCGCGGAGCGAAGAAACTCGGGGTACCCTGACGATAAGCAAATGGTTTCTTGATGCGCGCCCCCACTGTGCGTATGGGCAACTGTTCCTCCCCCGATCCTCCCCCTCCGATCCTCCCCCTCCGCCTCCGAGCCCCCCGTCCGCCAAGTTGGAAGCCGAAGTTGGGATTTTTTGGGGGCGGCGGACGACGAAACCCTCAAGGACGCAAGAGCAAGGAAGAGCAAGGACGCAAGGGTACCCTGAGCAAAGTCGCGCGTCCTTATTAGGTTTTTTGGCTGTAGGAGCTCGACCACAAGAGACCTCCCACAAGAAACCCAGCCCTGGAACCCCAGGATGTGCACCGAGTTGTGCGATGGGAACGTCATGTGCTCCATAGCAAAGCCATCGAAGCCCGAGACACCCACGGCACCCCTGCAGGCAAGCAGTGCGTCTCTTGGCATGGGTTTCCACTGCACGTGGAGGAGCAAAAACGTGCCAGAGCCTCGATCCGTGAGCCTCCGTCCCCGGAGTCCGACGGCGCAGACGACGACCACGACGTCGCCCTCCTCCGAGATCCGCCCTCAAAGTCGGCCCCCAGCTGGCCATCGCTCGGGGACATCCATTCCCTGTGCATGGTTAGAGGCCTCCTAGATGGGGTCGGAGCAGATGGGGTCGGAGGATCGCGCCGCATCGCCGATGTATCGGCGATGCATCGGCGATGCACCAGCGATGCATCGTCGACGTGGGCTATGCCTCTGCGACGTCGACGTGAAGCAAATCGGGCTCCACATCGAGCGGCATCGGCGATGCATCGGCGATGCGGCGCACTCCTCCGACCCCATCTAGGACGCTTAGACAAAGTCGGCCCCCAGCTGGCCATCGCTCGGACGTACATTCCCTGTGCATGGTTCGATTTCGTGCGTGCATTGTTTCGCAAAGTGAGCGAAGATGCTCCTCGATGGTGGTGCTCGCCGACAAACACGCACACGTCCGAGCGACACCCAGCCAGGCCCCAGACTCCTCCTGGGACCCATCCTGGACAATTGCTTGCGCTGCGCCCAGCCGGGGGCGACGAGAACCCTCCGAAACGCCCACAACAACTTCAGAAACGAAGACGTCTACAGGGCGGGAGCTCGTCCGCAACCACAGCCCAGGGATCGATCTCCAGGGGCCTCGGAAGGCCGTGGGTGTGTGGATGCATCTGCCCCCCCTCCCCCCCAGGTCCAGGACGCATCCGAATCCACCGCCTGCCGACCAGGCGGCGGTGATCTTGCCATCGCTCGGACGTCCAATTCCCCCGTGCATCTTCCGGCTTCGTGCGTGCTTCTTGTGCCAGATATGATACAGGATGCTCCTCGGCGGCCTCGGCCGACAAAAAATGCACACGCCCGAGCGATGCCCAGTGAAGGACCCCCCAGGCGGTGCTCATCGATCAATCCCCGCCTCTGGATGTCACAATGGCGTCGTCTGCGCCGCTGCTGCCGCGGACGACGGCGGCGCGGACACTGCGCGTACGGGCGGGGGGGTGGGGGCGCGCGGGCCCGCGGCGCAGCCAGGGCGGACTCGACCTGGGCGGGCAGGCAGATCACCTGGCCGGGAGGGAGGAGGAGAGAGAAGGGGCAGGAGGAAGGACGGAGGAGGGGGGGAGAAAGGGAGGGAGGAGGGAGGAAGAAGAGGGAGGGAGGGAGGGAGGGAGGGAGGGAGGGAGGGGGAAGGATGAGGAGGAGGTACAGGTGGGGGGTGACAGAGACAGGAACGAGGGAGGAGGGGAACGAGGGAGGAGGGGGTGACAGAGACAGGAACGAAGGATGATGGGGAGGAGGGAGGATGGGAAAGATGGAGGGCGACAAGGAGGAGGGGCAGCGGGGGGGAGGAGTAGGGAGGAGGCACCAAGGGGAGGGAGGAGAGAAATTGCAACCATTCGTCGTCGTCGTCGGCCTCGTCGTCGTCGTCGTCGATCGTCGTCCGAGGATCGATCTCCACCCCTTCTACCTAGGACGAAGGAGGCTGGGGATGAAAGTAAGGCAGGTGGACTGGAAGGATATCGTGGAAGAGCAGGAAGCAAGGGTCAGGGGGAGGGAGATGGGCGATGAAGGGATGTGGAGGATGGATGGATGGATGAATGGATGGATGGACCGGCGTTCACAGGTCCGCGTGGGACACGCCGCGCGTCTACTCCTCGCCCAGAAAACGGTAGGTTGCGCCAGGTGAGATACGTTTCAAGATGCGCCTGGTAGGACTCATTGGTGAGAGCCACGTCTGTCCCGGGGGAGGCAGATGATATAGGGAGGAGAGAAGAAGAGGAGGATCGGGGAACAGGGAGGGAGCAGGAGGAGGAGAGCCAGACATCCGACGTCTCGATTTTGTTCGAGACGCGGGCCCCCGACCTCTCGACCACTTCCCCAGGGCCGGTTTTTCATCCCGAGTCGTTTTTTGACGGTCCCGAGGCCCGGCGAGGGCCCCGAGAGGCCAAAAACTATGAAAAACCTCTGTCTCGATTTTTTCGAGACGCCCGAGGTCTGGGGAGCGAGGACAGCGAGGACGAGGGCGGATCCGGGACAGCGAGGAGGCACGACGCGAACGAGGGGAAGATCAGGAGCAGGTGACGCCGCGACTGCGCCGCGGCGTGGGCCCCCCCGCCTCCGCCCATTCCCCCCCCCCCCCGGGGCCGGCCCCTCGGCCCGAGGCCGCCCCCTCTCTGACTACCTACCAGACCACCCCAACCCAACCCGAAGACCCGAATTTCGGGCTGGGAGGGGGGGGGTATGGGCTCCATAATTGTGTGTTTTTACATGTTCCCGGACCCCCCCCCCCACTGGAAATGGATGGAGGGCAACTTGAGGCCTTCGGGTTGGGTTGGGGTGGTTTGGTGGGTGGTGACCCTCTCACGGCCCAGGGGGCCGAGAACACCGCCAGAAGCCGTCGGCCGGGAGCTCCATCACGGCGCGAAGGCGTCTGCCCCTCGGGCCGACAAGCGTCGGCACGTCCGGCGGTCGTTCGGGGACGGTGCGGTCACAGCTCCCGAACCGCCCTCGGCGAGGCGCCGCTGCAGGACGGCAGCCCGAGGCTGGAGGAGATCTCCGGGAACGACGGAGCCGCCCGGAGGCCTCGAACGAGCCCCCCTCCTCCTCCTGCTCCTCCTGCTCCTCCTGCTCCTCCTGCTCCTCCTGCTCCTCCATCTCCTCCTCCTCCTCCCCCTCTCCTTCCTCCTCCTCCCCTCCTCCTCCTCCTCCTGCTCCTCCTCCTTCTCCTCCTCCTCCTCCTCCTCCTCCTCCTCCTCCTCCTCCTCCTCCTCCTCCTCCTCCTCCTCCTCCTCGGCGCGAGGCCTTGTTGATGTTCGCCCAGGGCTCTTTCTGGCCTCCCCACCTCGCGGGGGCGGGACTGGGCGGGGGGGGGCGCCGCACACGGGCGGGAGCGGGGCCCCCAGATCGGGTGGAGGCGCTCGGGCTGGCGAAGGAGCGGAGGGATCGAGGACCGAGGAGGAGAAGGATCGAGGATCGAGGATCGGGTCGGGCGGAAGGGGGGGATAGCAAAGGGGGGGGTTGAGAACCAGCTCGCGTAGCTGGTTTTCCCAGCGCCTCCCGGTGCCGGAGGCGGCCATGTATCGAGGAATGGGCCCCTCGGCGAGGCCGAGACCAGCTGCATGCAGCAAATTTCGTAACACCCCCTTTCCCAATCCCCCCCTTTCGCCGGGCCCGAGAGGAGGCGGAGCGGGAGGCGGAGGAAGCTCGAGGGCCCCCGGCCCCTTCCTGGCGCCCTTCCTGTCCTCCAGGGGCACCCGGCTGGTCTGCACTGGACGGGCGCTCGGGCAGGAGACGCGCCCTCGCTCCAATCGCTCGGACGTCCACTCCCTGTGTGTCTCTGTTCGGCCTCGTGCGTGGCTTCTTCGGCAAATGGTCAAGGATGCTCCTCGATGGTCCTCGCCGAGGAGAAAGCGCACACGTCCGAGCGATGCCAAGGGAGGCGGAGGAAGCTCGAGGCTCCCCGGCCCCTTCCCGGCGCCCCTTCTGGCCTCCGGAGGCACCCGCCTGGCCTGGACCTGTGTGGGCCCCGGGAACGGCAGGGCCGTTTTGTCACCGTTGCCAAGAAAATGTCCCTTGAAAGTGGAAACGGCAAAAAGACGGCGACCGGGAACGGCCAACAAGACGGCTCCAGGATCGGAACCGGAGCCGGAACCGGTCAAAACACGGTGACGGAACCTGTGAAAAAAACGGCGTCGGAACCGGCAACAAAAACGGCAAAACGGAACCGGTAAAAAAACGGCCCTGTCGTTTCCAGGGCCCACTAAGCCCTGGCCCCTTCCGGGCGCCCCTCTGGCCTCCAGGCACCCGGCTGGTCCGGACTGGACTGCGCTCGGGCAGGAGACACAGTCGGGGCGTTGACCTAAGGAACCCTAAATAAGGAACGAGCCCCCGTTTCCGTTCACTCAAACTTCGATTCCCCATGGAAAACCCAAGGAAAACCCAGGGCGAACTACAAAACAATCAAAGAACACCGAGCTCCTCCCCAACGAAAAGGGTTCCTTAGTCAGCGCCCCGACTGCTCGATCCTTCTGCTCCTCCTCGGTCCTCGATCGCTCGCCGAGCGATGCCAGGCCCTCGCTCCCATCGGCGGGGCCCAGCCCAGGCAGAGCGATGCGGAGAGCACGGGCGGGGAGAGGGAGCGCGGGCCGCGGCTGGCGAGGGGGTGGCCCCGGCAAGACGGGGGCACGGCACGAGGGCCGACCACGGTGATGGGAGCGGGCGGTCGTCCCGAGGAGCAAGAAGAAGAAGGGGAACAAGCAGAAGGAGAAGAAGAAGCAAGAAGAAGGAAGAAGAAGGGGAAGAGGGGGAAGAAAAAAACGAAGAAGAAGAAGATAAGGAGCAGGTGGAGGGAGAGGAGCAGGTGGAGGGAGAGGAGGAGGAGGAGGAGGAGGAGGAGGAGGGGGACGAGGAGGAGGAGGAGGAGGAGGGGAAGGCGGAGGAGGATCGAAGATCGAGGAATCTTGCCTCCTATCGCATCTGAGGGTTGCCCGGGGGCCCGCGGGGACCTCCGGACACCTCCCGGGTGCCGCCGCCCTCCTGGCACGGAGAGACCTCACGAGATGGGCAGGCGGAGGAGCAGAGGAGCTCTTCATATACTGTGCACAGTGCACCTACAGTTAGGTCGGGCCTGTCCCCCTACAGGGGGAGTTTGGAGGACAAAGTAAAAACAGTCAAAACAGATTTCAAAATGGTCAATGAATACTCAAAAATCGTCCCCAGACTAGTGTTTGACTATTTTTGAACATTCCCCCTGTAGAGGGACAGGCCCGACTTAAACCTACAGTTAACCCGTATAGCACGGATGTGCCCCAGGGATGCAGGGGCCCTGGGCGCCCATGTCGAAGCGTTTCGAGCGGGGCGCGGCCAGCGAAAGCAGCGACGGCTGGACCGAGGAGGCAAGGATGCAAAGGCACCCGGGGATGGACAGACCTCCCTTTCGTAAAACGTGGTTTCGTGAAAACGACCTCGGGCCCAAACCTGGCGGGCGCAAGCCTGGAAAGTAACGGCCGCGGCGCCCTCTCGAGAACCGAAAACGGACAATTCGCTAATCGACGTGTCACTGTTAGGAGGTCTGTCCACCCCCGAGGCACCCTTGGGAAGGCTGCCCATCCTTACTATGCGGACCGACTGCACACACGTCGAGGGAAGACCCACGTCCTCTGGCTCCCCGGGAGGCCTTCGCTGCCACGGCCGGACCCGCCCTCGAGCTCCGGACAGGGACGCGCTGCAGGTGCTTCCCCATCTGGGGCATCTCTTCCTCCATCCCTCCTGGCTCGGTGGGGCGTCCTCCTGCTCCTCCTCCTCCTCCTCCCTCATCCTCCTCCTCCTCCTCCTCCTCTCCTCCTCCTCCTCCTCCTCCTCCTCCTCCTCCTCCTCCTCCCCTCCCCCCTCCTGCTCCTCCTCCTCTCCCCTCCTCCTCCTCCTCCTCCTCCTCCCTCCCCCTCCTCCTCCTTCCCCCCCTTCCTCCTCCCCCTCCTCCTGCTGCCCCGTGAGACCGACGAGCAGAACTATGAACCCACGATCATTCATGCTGCTCGGTGGCAAAATAACCCTTCGTCCCCTCAGGGACTCGGCTGAGCAAAACAGACTACTGATGACGTGCATACTGCATGATATCGAGCCATCGCTGTCCTCGCCCTTGCCCTCGTTGTCATACTCATCTGCCTGACCATCACCACCGTTACCACCATCATCATCAACAACAACAGCAGCATCATCGTCATCAGCAACATAATCATCAACAACAAAGCATCAGCAACAGCATCAGCAGCATCATTATCAGCAGCATCATCATCAGCATCAACATCATAATCAACATCAGCGTCATCAACAGCATCATCATAATAGTCAACATCATCATCATCATCATCAGCAGCAGCCGCATGCTCATCATCAGCAGCAGCTTCATCGGCATCATCATCATCATCATCATCATCATCGTCATAATCATCATAATCATCATCATAATCATCATCATCATCATCATCATCATCATCATCATCATCATCATCATCATATCATCACCATCAACAGCATCGTCATCATCATCGTAATTTCCATGGTCATCAACATCATCATCATCATCATCAGCATCATCATCACCATCAGCATCATCATCGGCATGACCCTCATCATCATCAACATCAGCACAAGCATCACCATCATCAGCATCATCATCAGCAGCATCAGCATCAGCATCAGCATCAGCAGCGACCGCATCTGCCCGACCATCATCACCAACCCCATCATCATCATCATCGTCAGCATCATCATCATCATCATCAATAAAAGCATCTTCAGTATCAGCAGCATCAACGTCAACATCATCAGCATCATCATCATACGCATCATTACCAGCATGATCACCACAAACACAGTCAGCCTCAGCATCACCATCATCAGCAGACGGAGCAGCATCAACATCACCAGCATTACCTTTACAATCAGAACAATCATTAGCAGCAGCATAACCCTCATCATCTTCATAATCATCAGCCATCGTCAGTATCAGCATCATGAGCATAAACATCAGCACCATCATCCTCAGCAGCAGCATCCTCATGATCGTCAGCATCATCATCATCATCAGCAGCAGCATCAACATCAACATCTTTCTCTTCAGCACCAGCATCATCATCTTCATCAGCATCATCATCAGCATCGTCATTATCATCAGAATCATCGTCATCAGCAGCAGCATCATCAACGTCGGCATCACCGCCATCATCATCATCATCATCACAAGCATCATCAGCAGCATCAACATCATCGACATCGTCATCGTCATCAGCGTCATCATCAGCATCGTCAGTTTCATCATCATCAGCAGCATCAGCATCATCATCATCACCATCATCAGCATCATCATCACCATCATCAGCATCGTCATCATACGCAGCTGCCTGGCAATCATCACCATCACTACCATCATCATCATCATCAACAGCAGCATCTACATAAACCTCTTCAGCGCCATCATCATCGTCATCCACATCACCATCTGTATCGGCATTAACATCGTCAGCAGCATCATCATCATGCTCAGACTGTCTGCCGTCATCACCATCACCAACATCATCATCAACAACAGCATCATCAACAACCTCATCCGAGCCATCATCACCATAGTCATCCACATCATCGTCATCTGTATCGGCATTGTCATCATCATCAACATGAGTAGCATCAGCATCATCAGCATCACCGCCAGCAGCATCATCATCATCAGCAGCAGCATCCGCATCATCAGCAGACGAAGCATCAGCACCATCATCGTCATCATCAACATCAGCATCGTCATCACCAGCCTCATAATCGCCATCAGCATCATCATCATCAGCAGCAACATCACCATCATCATTATAATCAACAACAGCAACATCATCATCATCATCATTCACAGCAGCATCATCAGCATCACCGGCATCACCATTTCATCATCACCAGCATCATCCTCGTCATCATCATCTCCGCTCTCCTCAAAGAGCAATACATCAAAATGAACGTTCGTGCATGTGCGGAAAGGTCTTTTACCCTGATCGGCACGCCTCGCGTGCTGTGAAAGACTTCGTGTGGTGGGGGGGGGCAGCGAAGATGGGGCCGCCAGGAAAGAAGGTCCACGGTCGACGGAAATGGTATGTACATGTGAGCTCTGTTCCTCTCAAGGCCAGGTGCGAGCTAAGACGCCACTCCAGTAGCTGCTCGCCGAACCGCCGGGACACAGAAAAGCAAGAGGCTGGACAGTGAGGATTCTCATGCCTGGCGAATCGACCTCCTGTTGGCTCCCCCAAGAGCCAGACGCCAGCTTGGAGCAGTGCGTGGCACGGGCAAGGGGGCAATGCTCCACCACACTTCTGGATTTACGTTGCCCCGAAGGGACCCCGCATTCACGCTGCCCTGCCCAGGTCTGAACTGATAGCTACGCCACTGGATATCCATACCAGCTCTCAGACGGCTCCCAGACGGCTCCAATACACCCCCAGAGGCGCCCGAAATGGCCCCAGAGGAAGACGCCTCCAAAAAGCCCCCGAGAGGCCCACAAGAGGCCCCAAGAGTCCCCAAAACGGACCTCAGGAGGCTTCGAGACTACCGCCAAGAGGCCTGCGAGAAGTTTCCCCAAGGTGATCCAAGTGAACGCCGCACAAGTCTCATACCCACAACCCGGGCCCAGCGGTCAGACTCCTCGCAACTTCCGTTGCTTGCCGCCGTGCTCGTCGCTCGTCTCCGCAAGGCGTTTCGGCGGTTCTCTCCGCACCGCCCGTCCCGCCTTATAGCACTTCGCGCAAACCACCGGAGTGCCCCGCTTGAAAAAAAAAACCTTCTGGTCCTTCGACAGATGGCCCCCGTCTGTGAACGCGGGTTTCGATCCGTTTTTTTTTTGTTTCTCTTCCGGAGGGCACGCAGAGCATTCAAAGTTATTCGCCACCCGTACTGGCCTATGGTGGATGCCCGTCTGGTGGTACTTCTTGATCTGGTCTGCCGTCGGACGCCCCACGTCCTCGAACTCTGGGCTACTCCCGTCCGCATCCTTCGGGCACGCGGAGCACCTGAGCACCCGAGGCGTTTGGAACCCACGTGTGTTCACGCATGTCCCGCTCTCGGGCGTTAGGAGCCCACGTGTTTTCACGGTTGTCCCGCGCTGGGGCGTTAGGAACCCACGCGTTTCCACGCATGTCCCGCTCTTGGACGTTAGGAACCATGTGTTTTCACGCCTTTCCCGCTCTGGGGCGTTAGGAACCCACGTGTCTTCGGGACAACCCACAATGCCTCCCAGACGCCCCCCCCGAGCCCCAAGATTCCTCCCAAGAACCCAACGATGCAAAAACTTCCAAATATTTTGGCCCGACGTGGAGGCCCCAAGAAGGCCTCCAGAAAACACCAAGAGCCAACCAAAAGGACCCGAAAAGGCGCCCTAGAAGGCCTCACAAGCAAAACACGGCAACCAAGAGTTCCAAGGGGTCGGCGGTGTGGCGTAAGCCTGAGCATAGTAGACATAAATAAATCGTCCCTGGAATGTGTTTGACTATTTTTGTATATTCACGCGCACATACCCATAGGGGGGTCGGAGAGGGCTATGGGTGCGTGTTGTCGAATGGGGGTCCCCGCTCGAACGGGAGCGTCCCCCAAGGTCCGACAACCCGCACCCATACCCATAGCCAGTCCTCCTCCCAACGAACCCCCTATGGCAATGGGCATGGTTGTGTGCTGTTCGTTCGTGACGACGGTCCTCGCCGAGGACGAGGCTGCACGCCTCCGGGCGACGCCGAGGTGCGACGCCTGCTGTGCAGGCGCTCGGCGCCCCGTGCGGGCCTGCGGGGCGAGGCTGCGCTCCGGTCATGCGCCCCGCGCCTGGCGCCGCGCGGGCCCAGGCCGCTGCCTCCACGCCCCCGCGCCGGCGCTCGCAGCAGGGCGGCGCTCCCGCGCCCATGGCCAGGTCGGGCCTGTCCCCCCACAGGGGGACTCTCTCGGCGAGGGCTCAGAAAAGCACGCACACAAAAAAATGCCTCGAACAAAGGCTCAAACAGGGTCCACGAAAAAATGGTCCCCGGACCATGTTTGGACTCTGCTTGAATATCCCCCCTGTGGAGGGACAGGCCCGACTGACGCCCGCGGCCGCGCCGCGCGGCCCTCTCCGCGCTGCGCCTGCGCGCGCCGGCGCGGCCTCCGCCGGCGGCTCGGCGCGGCGGCTGGCCCCCCGCGGGGCCGCCACGGGGTCTCGGCCTCGGAGCGCCGGCGCCGCCTGCAAGAAGGGTGGCGGGGAGCGTGGCCCCCTCCTCCGGCGGGGGAGCCAGGCGCCTGCGGATCCGCACGACAGGAACTGCCGGCACCACCCTCTCGCGTCCGTCCGTCCAGGCACAAAAGCTCCGGATCCGTCCGTGCGATGGCCACCACCTCGAGGAAAGCACCTGTCGGAGCTCCGCCCAGACTTCTTGGGTCGGCGCTGCATTCCCGGTGCATGTTTCGGCTTCGTGCGTCTGCTTCGCCAGATGGTCCAGGATACTCATCGATGGCCCCCGCCGAGCAAACATGCACACGTCCGAGCAATGCCGAGACGAAAAAGCGTCATACACATAGTTACACCTCTGGAGACATGCGCGCGCGGAGCTCCGAGCACGTGTGCCTATGCTTAAGTCGGCCCTGTCCCCCTACAGGGGGATCTTCGACGAAGAATTAAAAGTAAACAACAAGTACTCCAAAATGCCAAAAAATAATCCAAAAATAGTCCCAAGACTATGTTTTGACTATTTCTGAATATCCCTCCTGTAGAGGACCAGGCCCGACTGAAGCTTATGCAATGTTCTGCTCTTCGACGGTGACGGGGCCCTGGGACACACAAACAGATACACACGATTATCAGGATTCCCCATGTGTTTCCATAGTTTGGGGATGCTCGTCTTCCCCCCACCTCCCATATTTTCGCACATTTCCCTGGGCATCGACGATACGTGCCTGTGCGTTTTTGCCCTCCTGAGACGGCCACGCGCACCAAGCGGGCGCTGGCCTTAGAGGGCCCTGGAAACGACAAAGCCGCTTTTTTACCGGTTCCGTTTTGCCGTTTTTGTTACCGGTTCCGACGCCGTGTTTGTTACCGGTTCCGTCGCCATTGTTCGACCGGCTCCGGCTCCAATCCAATCCTGGAGCCGTTTTTTGGCCATTTCCGGTCGCCGTTTTTTCTTGCCGTTTTCATTGTCAAGGGACACTTTTTTGGAAACGGTGAAAAAACAGCCCTGCCGTTTCGGGGGCCCACAAGTCAGGAGGAAAAGAAACACACAGACACAATTAATCGGCGATTCCCCAGAACATATGGGAAAATATGGGAAGTGGGCGGGAAGACAGAAACCCAGAAAATATGAGGAAATATGGGGGATTATTTTATTTGTGTGTATTTATTTGTGTGTCCTAGGGCCCCTTCAACAAAGGCGCTGGCCCGCCTGCGCTCGCGCTCCGCCGGCGGAGTCTCCAACGGGCGAGGGGAGAGGAGCGGGCCGTCGCGCGCGCCGCCCGGGAGCGGCGGGCCACCAGGTCATGTCCTTGGCCACGAGCGCCTCGAACAGCCTCACCTCGCTTCCCCCCCCCCCCCGGGGGCTGAGGATGCTATTGATGCTGCTGCTGATGATGATGCTGGTGATGATGAGGATGATGGTGATGATGATGATTATGATGCGGGTGATGGTGATGGTGATGGTGATGGTGATGGTGATGGTGCTGGTGCTGGTGATGATGATGATGATGATGATGATGATGATGATGGTGATGGTGATGGTGATGGTGATGATGATGATGATGATGGTGATGATGATGCTGATGGTGATGGTGGTGATGATGATGATGCTGATGGTGATGGTGATGGTGATGGTGCTGGTGCTGGTGCTGGTGCTGGTGATGATGATGATGATGATGATGATGATGATGATGATGATGATGATGATGATGATGATGATGGTGATGGTGATGGTGATGGTGATGATGATGATGAGGAGGAGGAAGAAGAGTACGAGACCGAAGAGTGGCCAGTCTCGTGCAGAAGGCACATCTGCACCATCTGGGTGCCTGGCCTGGTCCGTCCTGGCCCTGCCACGGCGCATCCGTCTCCTGCCAGGGGGATGCTGCTGGGCGCCGCCGCCAATCCAGAGCGCTCCAGAACGCGCTGAGGGCGATCTGGAGCGCCGCAGAGCGATTCGTCTCCCTTCAGGGAATGCGACGCTTGCGACAGCGCAGGGAGGTATGGCGGGGCAAAGATAGGGGGGGATAGGCACAGGAGGGGATGCAGCTACCGCGAATGGCCGATGCATCGCCCACGTATCGTCGATACATCGTCGATGCAGACCGCCCCATGCATCGTCTGCACGTCGTCGACTCATCGCCCTGATGTAAGCGATGCATCATCGATGTGTCAACCATTCGAGGTCGATGCATCCGTCCTGTCTACCCCCAAACCGCCAACCCCTTATCGTTGACCACGAGGCATATCGGGCTGGGCGAAAGGGGGGGATAGCAAAGGGGGGGGGGTGAGAATGAGCTTACGTAGCTGACTTCCCCGGCGCCGGAGGCGGCCATGTATCGAGGAATGGGCCCTTCGGCGGGGCCGAAACCAGCTGCACGCAGCAGATCTCGCAGCACCCCCCTTCCCCTATCGCCCCCCCTTTCGTCGGGCCCGAGCATGGAGGGAGGGATGCCCCGAGGGCTGGGGGAGGGGGTCCCGCCGGCGGCGCCGGGGGGGGGGTGGAGCGGGGGGGGGGCGGGGGCTCGGCCGGGCACGGCAGCTGGAAGGGGGACGGGCGGCAGCACGGGGGGGCGGGAAGGCGAGGCGGGCGGGAGCACGGCCGCCGTCCGGGAGGGCGAGGCGGAGGGAGGGTCGGGCAGGCGCGAGGCGCGGGCGCGCGGGACTCGGGCTGGCCCGACGGGGCTGGCAGGCGAGCGGCTGGGCCCGGTCTGGCAGCTGGCGCGGGCTCCCGCGGGGAGCGGCCCTCGCAGGCGGGGCCGCCGAAGCCCAGGGCGGGCCCGTCGAGAGGCGTCGGTCCGCCCGAGTTCGGGCGCACTCGAACCTCACGTCTCCGCGAGGAGGCGGGGGGGGGCGTCGGCGGTGTTATCGACCTCTGGCGGCGGGGGGGGCAGCAGCCTGCAGGGAGACCGAGGCGGCGGGAGGGGCGGCGAAGGGGGAGTGCACCACGGCTGGCCGGCCCCACGCGGGGCCGTGGCGCAGGCCAGCGGCGCGCAGGAGGGGGAGGAGGCGGAGCAGGAGAAGCGAGGAGGGGGGAGGCGACGGGGGAGGAGGAGCTGAACCAGTGAACGCCGGGGACACTCTCTCCATCAGCACTCACGGAGATCAGCTGCTCGACTGCTGGAGGAGGAGAGGGGGAGGAGGAGGAGAGGGGGAGGAGGCGGAGGAGGAGAAGGGGAGGAGGAGGAGGAGGAGGAGAGGAGGAGAGGAAGGCGAGATGGGACGAAGGGAACGAGTGGGGCGACGAGGCGAGTCGGGGCGGCGTGACAAGGGGAGGAGTGCCACTGGCGCTGAGTGGAAATGTGCCGATGCAAGTCCCTGGCTCGCGCAGCGTCTTCGCTCAATGCGGGGGTGCAGCGCCACTGCTGCCACGTGTGGGCCCATATGAATTACCAATGGGTCGGAAGAAGGAGGCAGAAGCATGAAGTAAAAAGGTGTTAGAAATAGATTGGGTGTCCGCCCACCCCCTAAAGAGGACGGAGAAGGTAAAGCCACTCGATCATGGAAGGCGCGTAAAGTAGATTGGGACCTGGAAATCCACAAAAAAAACCTACTTTCAACGTCCGATGGGTACAGTGGCGAGGCGGCTGATGGAGGACTTGGCTGGAGGAGCACTGGGGGGGCGGGGCGGGGCGTCCGCGGCAGGAGGGAGGATGGGCGCTACGGCAGGCGAGGGGGAATCCTGCACTGGCCACAAGAAGGCTTCTGGACCCCTGGCAAAAAACATTTATGTATATGCACATGCATACATGCATGCATGCATGCATACGTACATTCACACAGACATACAAACATACATACAGATATACATACCTACAAACATACATACAGATACATGCCCCCTGGCACTTTGAGGTGTGCTGAAATACTAAGTGGTGTCTGGAAGGTTTCTGACATGTTCGAAGGGCCCCCCCTCTCCTGGTCGCACATGCCTGCATGCACCGCCCCCTATTCCCGAGGTCACAATCCCTAGGAGTATGCCACATATTCGCGCTCCCGAGGCCCAGATGCCTCCCAGACGGCCCAAGATCGCCCCAAGAAGGGCCCCTGAAGTCCCAAGACGGCCCAAGATGACTTCAAGACGGCCGCCGAGGTCTTCGAGGCACCCCAAGAACCTAAACAAACTTTCCAAGAGGCCTCGAGAGGCACACATCGCTGAAGATCCGAATTAAGATGTTTCAATGTGTTTCGTACTCTCGCCGTTTCGACCGTCCGACGTCTCAAGCGGACTCAAGAGGTCACCAAGAGGATCCCAAGACGACCCAAGAGGGCTCCAAGACGGCCCAAGAGGCTCCCAGGAATGTCAAGAATGGTCCCAAGTAGTGCCTAAGAGAGGGAACGCACGATGACAGTTCGAGCATTCCGCCCCAAGAGGGCTCAGGAGGCAACAAGACGTACAAAAGAGCCCCTAAGAGTGCCCCGAAAGACAAAAGACGAGTGATACCCCATGGTTGTCCACTTCGAGCCCCCCACGCTCCAAGATGGCCCAAGGAGGCCCCCAGGACTCCCCCGAAAGGGCTCGAGAAGCCCCCCAAGATCCAAGCAGGCCCGAAAAGGGCTCCAAGGCGGTCTAAGAGGCACCCAAAGACTGCCCAAGAGGGCCCCCCAAACGGCCCCACGAAGGGCACACGAGCGGGAACAGAACCGAATCCCCGAACCGTCTGCCCCGAAAGGCCCCCCCGTGAGGCCCCCTTGCCGCCTCGAGCAGCTGCCACTCAAAGTGCTGCGCTGCCGCGGTAGCGGGTTCGCTGGAGGCGGCTGGGTATACAGAAGCCCCAACAGCTGCGTCCTCGGCCATCGGGGAGGACCAGGGAGGTGTGCCGACCCCACCCGCAGCATACAAAAACTTACAAAAACCTGAACTGTCGGAGGTCCGCGCGGAGTTCTTGGATCGGTGCTGGACCCCACCCCCTCCCCCCCTTGACGAGAGGAGCGCGCCAGGCCCCGCCCAGCAGGCGCTTGCTTTTGTACACATACGCAACGAGCGGGTCGCGGGTGGGACGCGGTGTGGGTCGCGGGTGGGTCGCGGGATGGACGACGACAACAACATGTATCGTTCAAGCCCTCGATACCCGCCCTCTTCGTCTTCGGTCGTACACCCCCTCCCGGAGGCATATCTTCCTCACCTGCCACGTGTAGTTGGCACAGGGAAGGAAGGGAGGCGGGAAGGGACAAGAGGGAAGAGGGAGAAGGATGGAGCACGAGAGGGCTTAGCAGGGGGGGAGTATGAGCAGGAGAACAGGCGAACAGACAGGCGGGTCGGGCGGGAGTACCCCAAATCGGGCGGGCTGGCCCAGGCGACCAGGTCGAACGGGAGGGTCGCTGAAGCGTCAGTCCTGCATGAACCGTGGGGAAGTCCCGAGCGATAGCGCGATTCCCAAGAGAGTCGTGAGGAAGGCCGGAGCGAGAGCATGATTCCTGAGTGTCTAGGCCTCAGCATTCCAATATGTTGCGACGACATCCTGAGCGAGACCACGCCTCCCGGGTAAATTGTAAGGGGAACAAGCGCAAGAGCGCGATGTGGTATGAACTGTAACGAAATATCAGACGGGAGTCGCTGTTGTGTAGCGGGTGCCTACAGCCCAATTTGAGGCGCCAGACTTTCCCTGGTGACAGGATGCCAGCCCCAGGAGGGGCATTTCCATAGAAAAGCAGAAGGTGCATCGGAGGGAGGTCGACAAAAACCTCTTATTGAAGAAGAGTGTCACCAACGACGACAACAACCATCAGTCAGGACTGTTCGCTCTTGTTCGCGCGAGTGCCACTCAACATGCACATCCCAAACCCTCGATGCCCGACTTCGTTCGCCCTCCATCGCACCTCCGTGACGGGGTGTATGCCACGTGTGCCTCGCCTGTCGTGAGCACTTGGCGCAGCTCCCTCGGATTGACGACACTGGCCATCGCTCGGACGTCCATTCTCTGTGTTTTTTATCGGCTTCGTGCGTGGTTTTTTCGCCAAATGATCAAGGATGCTCCTCGACGGCCCTCGCCGAGAAAAAATGCACACGTCCGAGCGATGCCAGGCGACAGGGAGGGGCAGGGGAGAAGGGAGAGGACCGAGGAGGAGAGGAGTGGGGGAATGGAGGCACTCGGATTGGCGACAGGGAGGGGCAGGGGAGAAGGGAGAGGAGCGAGGATGAGAGGAGTGGGGGAATGGAGGCCCTCGGATTGGCGACAGGGAGGGGCAGGGGAGAAGGGAGAGGAGCGAGGATGAGAGGAGTGGGGGAATGGAGGCCCTCGGATTGGCGACAGGGAGGGGCAGGGGAGAAGGGAGAGGAGCGAGGATGAGAGGAGTGGGGGAATGGAGGCGAGGAGGGAAGGAGTGGGGGAGTGGAGGGAGCTGCGTGAGCCTGGTGCTGAGCGGCCCTGGAGTCGCGGCCGACACGGCCAGCTGAGGAGGGAGGCGGGGCGGGGCACGCGGGGGGGGGGGGGGCCTCGCGCGGGGGTTGCGCTATGTCGGGCGTGTCCCCCTACGGGGGCATTTTCGACGAAAAAATGAACATACAAAAAATACGCCAAAAAGGTCAAACAAATACTCAAAAATACTCCCCAGCCTATTTTTGGAGCATTCCTTGCCTATTTCTGGGGTACTTTTTCTTCCGTCGGAAATCCCCCTATAGGGGGACAGGCCCGACATAACGGTGGCGGCGTCGCGCGGTCGCGCACGAGCGCGCTGCACCGCCCGGGGGGTCTCCCCTCCCCCCCCCCGGCCCAGCCAGCCGACGCCGCTCCGCGCTCCCCCAAAACTCCTCGGGGGCCTCTCCGGGGGCCCCTCCTCCGAAAGCAGGCCCCTCGGATCTCTCGGGCGGGGAGCGGGGCAACCTTGGGCCCAAGGCACGGGACGCACTGGCAAAACTGGCTCCTGGCACCGCTGGAGCCACGGCCGATTGGGCCGCGTCAAAGTCTCCAGCCGCACGGATGGCCTTGGACGAGGAAAGGAAGGGACGAGGGAAGAGGCAAGAGGGAGGGAGGAGGATTGATGACTATGGAAAGTAGCAGGAAGGGGATAAGAGGGGAGTAGGACAAAAAGCGGCAACACCAGACGGATGGGTCGGGTGGCGTACCCTAACGGGCGGGCGGGTCGGGCGCGCGGGGCATTCGAGCGGGCGGGTGAGCTTCCAAGCGAGAGAGCAGGCAGGCAATGACAGGCGGGTCGGGCGGCGGGTCGGGCGGGCCGGTCACTACTAAAAAGTGGGCCCTTGGCACCTTCCTACGTAAATCGCGAGGCGGCTCTGGCTAGAGCGTGATTTCTGTGTTGAGGGCACGACGCCTGAATGGATTGAAAGGAAGTCAACGCGACAGCGAGACTCCTGGATACATTAAAAGGGAGTGAGTCTTGGGCGGGAACGGGGTTTCTGAATACATCAATTGCGATGACGTGTCAGGCGGGAGCCGATGCTGTCGTTGTTGTAGTTCGGGGGCCAACAGCGCAGTGCGGAAACCCCAAAGACATCATCTGGTAACACACAAGGTTCGAGCGCCTAGGGGGGCACTTCACTCGAGGGGGGTAAAAATAATACCCACACACAGTAGGATTCAAATACATAGACGGTCCCCTCTTCGTGGCACGCGTGCCGTTCAGCATGCATACCGTAGAACCCGAACCATAATTACCCGTCCTCTTTGCCTTCGGTCGTACCCCCTTTCGGGGCTAGGCTATATCGTCCTCGCACGCCACATGTAGCTGGCGCGCCCTCCTGCAATAGGAGGAGGACAGAAAAGGAAAAGTGGACAAGGGAGAAAGCGAGGAAAGGGGGAGTAAAACGAGCAAGGAGGGGGGCAAGAAGGAGGGAGGATGGAGGGCGGAGAGGATTTCGCAGGCGGGGGGAGGAGGTCGGATTTGGGCAAGCGGCAGGCCCGGACAGGCGGGTCGGCAAGGCCGCCCCTAACCCCCAGGGCACGGCTCGGACGGGCGGACCGGAACGCGCGTGCGGGGCGGACGGAGCATCAGAGCTGGCGGGAAGGCTTCCAAGCTCGCGGAGGGGCCGACCCACGGGCAGGTCGGGCGGGCGGACCCCGACGGTCGGGCGGACCCTGCCGGGCGGCCAAGGCGGGCGGACCCCGCAGGGGTCAGCCGAGACATTGGGGTGGGCGGGTGGGCTTCCAAGCACGCGCACGGGCGGATCCTGACGGGCGGGTCGGACGGGCGGACTCTAACTTGTCGGTTGAGCGGGCGGTCCCTCACGGGCGGGTCGGGCGGGAGGGGCACGGAAGCGAACTCTGGATCAATCACGAAGAGGCCTCAGGTGAGAGCACGAGTCCTGAGTGAATACATGGCAAGGAAGACTCGCGCGAGAGCGACATTCCGAGGAGCTCCAAACAAATGCAAGGACGTCCTGAGCGAGAGCGCCATTCCCGAGTAAATTGTGCGGACGTCCAGCGCAAGAGCGCAATTTTGACTAATGTGTGAAGGAATATCAGACGGGCCCAGTCTGAGCCTCGAGACTTCCCCTTCTAAACAAACACTGTGCGAGCCTCGGAGGGGAGCACTTCCACAATGAAAAACAACCAAACACCAGGGGAAGATCAACAGTTATCATTCTTCATGAGTGGGAATTTAACAACAACGACACGACAGGAATCCGCGCCGCGGAATCGCACTTCTGCCACGCACACCGGGACGGTGTAAGACCGTTCGGACGGTGTCTGCGAATCTTGACCGCCACCCTGTCGGGGAGACGTACCACTCGGGCTCGGGGGACTCGGCTTGGGGGACGCCGAGAAAATGATGAGCCCCAGTCAGAAATCTGGACCGTCAAAACAAAGGACGGGCCCATCAAAAAGAATCGGATAATCAGAGTTCCAGCGAATCTGAGTCTGACTTGCCGGCGAGGCAAGGGAACAAGTAAAAAGGGGCGAGCCTTCTCAAAGGCTCGGAAGTCCTCTGGCCTTCTCAGAAACTGTCTAAGACTTTCCCGAAGACACGAAAAACTCCTCAGAAGGCGCGAGGGCTTCTGAGAAGTCCCGCCGCCTTCTGAAAAGGCTTTCTCTCTCTCTCACGTTCCCCCCTCGCTCGCCGCCGACTTACCTCCCCCCCCCTGGCCCGGCTCCTGTATCGACCTCGCCATCAGGTCCTGGCTCCTGGCGCGCAACTGCGACTCCAGGGCCCTCTGCGCGCGGGACCGGGGGGCAGAGGGCCGAGGATCGTCCCCTTCCTTCGTCGTCGGCTCGCCCGCCTCCCTCCCTCCATCCCTCCATCCCTCCATCCCTCCTCTCCTCCGCCTCCTCCCCACATCCTTCGTCCAACCTCCCCTTCGTCCGACTCTCCCTCATCCTCCCTCCTCTTGACCCTCCCTCGTCATCCTCCCTCCACCCCTTCGCCCTCCACTTCGCCCTCCCTCATCCAGTCCTCCTTCCCTTCCTCCCCCCTGCCCAACCTCCCAGCAGAGCATGCGGGCAACGCCTGGGAAACCGCCGCCCTCGGCGGCGGCGGCGGCCAGCGGCGGTGGCGACCTCATCCTGCGGCCCCCGGAGGTCTCCTGCAGGTCTCCCTCCGGAGGCTTCGGATCCTCCCGAAGCCCCGCAGGGGGGGGGGGGAGGGCCCTGGCGGAAGCCTCAGGAGGGCCACAGCGGGCAGAGAGGGTCTGAGAACCTCGACCCTCGCGACGGGGACGGTGGCGGCGAAGACGACGCGACAACGGCGACACCAGCAGGGGCGGCGGCGGCGGCGGCGACGACGACGACGCGACAACGGCGACGACAGCGGCGGCTGCGTCGACGACGACGACGACAAAACCCAGGGCGTGCCCTGGGGTGCACTCTGGCTAGCATTTCGCAGGGAGTCCAGGCGTGGCTACGAGGGCGCCTCAGGAGGTCCAAAACGGCCAGACCACCACCAAACAAAAACCTCGATCCTCGAACCTCCCTGTTTGCACCTCGACCGACGCCGGCGACGATGACGACGACGACGACGACGACGACGACGACGACGACGACGACGACGACGACGACGACGGCGGAGACGGCAGGGGAGACGACAAAGACGACGGCAACGCCGACGTTGGCGGCCACGGCGGCGACGACCTCCGATCGCCGCCGAAACCTTCGAATGCCTCACAATACAATCGAGACCGGTAAACAATCGTCGACAACGGGGGAGACGGCGACGGCGACGACTACGACGGTTGCGGCGACAGCGGCGGTGACAACGACAACGACGACGACGACGGCGATGACAACGACGACGACGAAGACGACGAGGTTGATAATGACGACGACGACGACGAAGACGACGACGGCAGCAGCAGCAGCATCAACAGCGACAGCAATAGCAACATCAATAGCAACAGCAACAACAACAATTACAGCAGCTCATGGTAAGACTGTTCGCTCCTATCTACTCACGAGCTCACCACGTAAAGATCCAACACTCCGTACCCGCCCTCTTCGTCCTCGATCGTACCCCCATCAGGCTTATATCTTCCTTACCTGCCACGCTTAGCGCATGCCTCAACACAGGGGAAGAGAGGACGGATGGAAGGAGGAGCGAGAAGGATGGAGCACAGAAGAAATTGGTAGGAAGGGGACTAGGAGCAGAAAACACGTGGCAGAACTAGACGTACAGATCGGGCTGGGAGACCCCAGCGGACGGGTCGGGAAGGCGGGCCCAGGCGGCCGGGTCGAGAGGGAGGGTTGCTGAAGCGTGAACCCTGCATGAATCGGGAGGAGGTCTCGAGCGACAGGCGATTCCCGAGTAAAAAGCGAAGGAAAGGCTGCTTGGATAAACTGAAGTCCAACGCGAGAGCGCGACTCCTGCAGAAGTTGTGACGGAGTCCAGCGCGAGAGCGCGCCTTTGAAACAACTCGTGGGGAAATCGGGCGGCAGCCGTTGTTGCAAGCCGGGGGCCCGGAGCCCAATCTGAGCCCAAAGCCTCTCCCTTGCTGCAAAAACAGGGTGCGGGCCCCAGGAGGAGCGGTCTGACAAATGTGATGGTCGCCGACGGGGGATCAACAATGTGGTCATCTTCTCGAAACGAGAACGAGGATGATCCGCCAGCCACCCTTCGGGGCCACCAGGCTGCGAGGACGAGGATTGAAGCTCCCTGTTCCAGTTACAGTGTCCAGTTTCCACTGCTGCAGTCCTGCGTTCTGCTTCCTTACTGTGAATTGTTGCTGTCCGCGCGAGAGGTGGGAGCCCAAAACAAGTGTTTGTTACCACGCCCTGGTAGGGTTTTCAGAATTCGCGGGGGGGCGTGGGACATGAGCAAATAGAAGATATTCGCGTCCCCGAGGCCACAATCAAAAAACATTACAAAAGATTCGCGTCCCCGAGGCCATAACCCTCTTAAATTGAAAAATATGCGCGTCCCCGAAGCCATTCCCTTGTAATTTACACGATGTGTGCGTCCCCGAGGTCACAAACCCTCGTGAAGTATGCAAGCTTCGCGTCCCCGAAACCACAAACCCTCGTAAACTATACAATGCCCGCGCCCCCGAAGCCATAAACCCTCGAACAGTATAGAATATGTGCGTCCCCAGGGCCATAACCCCCTTGCAAATCACACCATACTTGCGTCCCACGGCTACACACCCTCGCAACCATACAATATTCGTGTCTCCGAAGCCATAAGCCGTATACAATTATACAGAAGTCGCGCCCCCGAAGACATACACCTTCTTAAATTACGGGATATGTGCATCCCCGAGGCCATAAACCCTCGTACACTATGCAATAGTCGCGTCCCCGAACCCATGCACCCTCGTAAATTACACAAGATTCGCGCCTCCGAAGCCATAAACTGTCGTAAATCAATATTGGCCCTCGCGTGAATTCCCGACCTTGCTTCACGTCAGCGTCCAGACATCTCAACACAGCTCTGGCAAGTCCCATTCTAAGAGAGGGGAGCCGGCGGCATGGGGGCGAAGCCCTTACGGATATAATTCAACAGCAAACAACAACAACCACAACCACAACCACAACAACAACAACAACAACAACAACAACAACAATCATTTTACCCGAACGCGTGGTGTTCTCCCCAGTGCCAGGGTTTTCATACGAGACCAGGCAATACCCCCACTTCGTGGGGGGGCATTACAAGCTCTACCAAATATCCAAACGACTCTTCGCGACCACCCAAACCCAGCTTCCCGCCCTATGACGTTGGGACACTTCACTTCGTGGCGTGCGGACGACCGTGGCTACTACACTGGCGTGGGGTACACACCCACAGAACTTGGTCACTTATTCGGGGCGCGCATGTGCCCAGCATGGTGCAATTGTGCCATACAATACATAATACAGAGAGACAGAGAGAGAGACAGAGAGCAGACAGAGAGAGAGACAGAGAGAGCGGAGTTGGTCACATTTTTGGGTCAAGTTCCTGGGATGATGGGAATACACAACTCTGTTACATTTGATAGTGTGCACGACACACATGAGATGATACGTACTCGCAAGATAGTTTGTCACATTTGTGGAATTCCTGGGCGGATGTGGGGATACACAAATACCTTTGTTACCAGTGCTAGACAAGGGAGGCCGCGACAGCTCATGGCCATACTGGTCGTACTGGTCGCCTGGGGCTCCAGTCGGCCAAGGGAGGCCGCGACAGCTCTGGGCCATACTGGTCGTCAAGGGCTTTCGCCGACAAAGCCATGACCCATCCAAGAACACAGGCGATACCTTGATCCGAGATGGCTACGGATGTGACAGTGATCAGTCGGAGGCTTCCTGGGGCCGCTTGGGGTCCTCTTGGGGAAGGGGGGAAGCCTCCTGGCGCCGCTTGGGGTCCTCTTGAGGGGCTTTGGGGGGCTTCTTGGAAGCATCTTGGGGCCTCTTGGGGGCTTATTGGGTCCTCACGGCGGGCTCTTGGGGCCTCTTGAAGGCCTCCTGGGGCAACCTATGGCGCAACCAGTAGGGGGACGTTTTATTCTCGGCGGCCGAGGGCGCAACCTATGGCGCAACCAATAGGGGGGCGTTTTATTCTCGGCGGCCGAGGGCGCAACCTATGGCGCAACCGCAAGGGATTATGGCCCCTGGCAGGCGCGCGAACCCCGTTGCAAGAGCGTGCGAAAGTAGCTCGCGCGAGCTCATGTAACATAAATGTTGGAAAACCATTGGTTGTTTTAGGATTCGGACAGCGCGCGCGGGTGGAAATTTTGAAAAGTCGTGCAGGTGTTTTTCGAGGACCTACGGTGCGATTCGTGTGATTTTATGATGCGCGGTGCTAAAATTCTTAAGAACCCAATGGTTTTTGGAGATTTCGGCGTGCGCGCGCAAAAAACGAATGTGTCCCGCATGGTATTATTTGACAGGGATGATGGCCCTGGCAGGTGCGCAACCGTTGTCGCAGAAGTTCGAAAAAGTTGCTCGCAAAAGCCCGTTTGACAGAAATGTTTAAAAAGTGTTGGTTTTCCTACGAATCCGCAAGAGCGCGCGGAAGAACATTTTGACAATTTTTTCTTAAAAAACCATTGGGTTTTTGATGTTTTTATGTTAAAATCGCTACGAAACCTAAGGTTTTGGAAGGATTTCGTCTTGCGCGCACGAATGTCCACTTTACCTTATTTTTTGCAAGGGATTCTTGCAATTTGATCAAGTAAGAACAAGAATTTTCATTTTATAGTGTTTTTTGCAAGGGAAAACGGAGTACAACAAAAAACCGGATCCGGTAACAATCCACTTTTCTGAAGCTTTCGCGAAAAAATGATGAAAATGTAGCTGCGGCCTAGGCGCGGCGCAGGGGGTCGCGCACCAGGGGTCCCAACAATAATAATTCTTTAGAAGGTTCAACAACAACAACAACAACAATTACTAGCACGTGGGGACACTCCGTTCTCACCAGTGCCAGGGTTTTCATAGGAGGCGGGCAATACCCCCACTTTGTGGGGGGGCCGGTTCAAGCTCTACCAAATTTCCAAACGACTCTTCGCCACCACCCACACCCAGCTTCCCGCCCTATGACGTTCGGACACTTCACTTCGTGGCATGCGGACGACCGTGGCTACTATTCAGGGCCCCGCGGCCGACGACGACGGCGTGCGCGCGCGAAGAAAAAACGAATGTGTCCCGCATGGTATTATTTGACAGGGATGATGGCCCTGGCAGGTGCGCAACCGTTGTTGCAGAAGTTCGAAAAAGTTGCTCGCAAAAGCCCGTTTGACAGAAATGTTTAAAAAGTGTTGGGTTTCCTACGAATCCGCAAGAGCGCGCGGGATGAAATTTTGACATTTTTTTGTTGAAAAACCATTGGTTTTTATGTTTTTATGTTAAAATCGCTACGAACACTAAGGTTTTGGAAGGATTTCGTCTTGCGCGCGCGAATGTCCACTTTACCTTGTTTTTTGCAAGGGATTCTTGAAGTTTGGTTATGTTAGAACAAGAAATGTCCACTTTAGCTTATTCTTTGCAAGGGAAAGCGGGGGGCAACAAAACAACCGGATCTGGTACACATCGTTTTGCCTGAGGCTTCCTCACGAAAATGATGAAAATGTGGCTGCGGCCTAGGCGCGGCGAGGGGGGCGCGCACCAGGGGGCCCAACAATAATTATTCTTTAGAAGTAATAATATTCAACAATAACAACAACCACAACCACAACAACAACAACCACAACAACAACAACAACAACAACAACAACAATCATTTTACCCGAACGCTCAGTGTTCTCACCAGTGCCAGGGTTTTCATGCGACGCGAGACAATACCCCCACTTCGTGGGGGGGCAGTTCAAGCTCTACCAAATATCCAAACGACTCTTCGCGACCACCCAAACCCAGCTTCCCGCCCTATGACGTTGGGACACTTCACTTCGTGGCGTGCGGACGACCGTGGCTACTACACTGGCGTGGGGTACACACCCACAGAACTTGGTCACTTATTCGGGGCGCGCGTGTGCCCAGCATCCTGCAATTGTGACATACAATACATGACACAGACAGACAGAGAGAGAGACAGAGAGCAGACAGAGAGAGAGACAGAGAGAGCGGAGTTGGTCACATTTTTGGGGCAAGTTCCTGAGATCGTCGTGTTTTTTGTTGGTCTTGCGCGCGCGAATGTCCACTTTACTTTTTTTTGCAAGGGAATATTGATTATGTTAGAACAAAAAAAAGTAGGTCGCGCGAGCTCATGTAACATAAATGTTGAAAAACCATTGGTTTTGTGGGAGTCGGACAGCGCGCGCGGGATGAAATTTGGACATTTTTTTTTGAAAAACCATTGGGTTTTTGATGTTTTTATGTTGAAATCGTTACGAAACCTAAGGTTCTGGAAGGATTTCGTCTTGCGCGCGCGAATGTCCACTTTACCTTATTTTTTGCAAGGGATTATTGAAATTTGATTATGTTAGAACAAGAAAAAGTAGCTCGCGCGAGCTCATGTAACATAAATGTTGAAAAACCATTGGTTTTGTGGGATTCGGACAGCGCGCGCGGAAGGACATTTTGACAATTTTTTCTTAAAAAACCATTGGGTTTTTGATGTTTTTATGTTAAAATCGTTACGAAACCTAAGGTTTTGGAAGGATTTCGTCTTGCGAGCGCGAATGTCCACTTTACCTTATTTTTTGCAAGGGATTCTTGAAATTTGATCAACTAAGAACAAGAATTTTCATTTTCTAGTGTTTTTTGCAAGGGAAAACGAGCGTCAACAAAAAACCGGATCCGGTAATCCACTTTTCTGAAGCTTTCGCAGAAAAATGATGAAAATGTAGCTGCGGCCTAGGTTTTGGAGGGGGGTCGCGCACCAGGGGCCCCAACAATAATTATTCTTTAAGAAGTAATAATGTTCAACAACAACAACAACAACCATTATCCCGGCAAAGCAACCTAACAGCGATGTGTAGAAGCATATCTGAAAGCATTCCCCTTAAGATTCAGATGAAAATCCAGTTGTAGAATTCTGCTGTTCTCGCAGTCGTAGTCGCATTCGCGATGACAGTCGCAGCGGCAACGGCAGTCGCAGTCACAGCCTCAGCCTCAGCCTGCCTCAGCCTCAGCCTCAGCCTGCCTCAGCCTCAGCCTGCCTCAGCCTCAGCCTCAGCCTGCTTCAGCCTCAGCCTCAGTCTGCCTTCAGCCTCGGCCTCAGCCTCAGCCTGCCTCAGCCTCAGCCTGCATCAGCCTCAGCCTCAGCCTCAGCCTGCCTCAGCATCAGCCTGCCTCAGCCTCAGCCTCAGCCTGCCTCAGCCTCAGCCTCAGTCTGCTTCAGCCTCAGCCTCAGTCTGCCTTCAGCCTCGGCCTCAGCCTCAGCCTGCCTCAGCCTCAGCCTGCCTCGGCCGCAGCATCAGCCTGCCTCAGCATTCAAAATGTGGCCCAGGAATGGAGTTCTGGGAACTAGAAGAACACGAAGTGGCCTACAGTTGGCTCCGGGCATTCAAAATCATGCCCAGGAATGGAGTTCTGGGAACTTGAAGAGCACGAAGTGGCCTACAGTTGGCTCCGGGCATCCAAAATGTGGCCCGGGAATGGAGTTCTGGGAAATCGAAGAGCACGAAGTGGCCTACAGTTGGCTCCGGGCATCCAAAATGTGGCCCGGGAATGGAGTTCTGGGAAGTCGATGACCACGAAGTGGCCTACAGTTGGCTCCGGGCATCCAAAATGTACGCCGGGGATGGAGTTCTAGCAGCGCCAAGAGCGATTTTGCGAGGATGTCCCAAGCGATTTCGGCTTCGGCGGCAGCCGCGGCGGCAGCCTGTCAGGGTCCCGCCCCGACCCCCCTGTGGAGTCATCTGCTGCTCTCTTTTGAGACCACTAGAAAACTATCAGCAAAAGCTTAGGTAAAAACAATTATCCCGGCAAAGCAACCTAACAGCGATGTGTAAGAGCATATCTGAAAGCATTCCCCTTAAGATTCAGATGAAAATCCAGTTGTCGAATTCTGCTGTTCTCGCAGTCGTAGTCGCATTCGCGATGACAGTCGTAGCGGCAACGGCAGTCGCAGTCACAGCCTCAGCCTCAGCCTGCCTCAGCCTCAGCCTCAGCCTGCCTCAGCCTCAGCCTGCCTCAGCCTCAGCCTCAGCCTGCTTCAGCCTCAGCCTCAGTCTGCCTTCAGCCTCGGCCTCAGCCTCAGCCTGCCTCAGCCTCAGCCTGCATCAGCCTCAGCCTCAGCCTCAGCCTGCCTCAGCATCAGCCTGCTTCAGCCTCAGCCTCAGCCTGCCTCAGCCTCAGCCTCAGTCTGCTTCAGCCTCAGCCTCAGTCTGCCTTCAGCCTCGGCCTCAGCCTCAGCCTGCCTCAGCCTCAGCCTGCCTCGGCCGCAGCATCAGCCTGCCTCAGCATTCAAAATGTGGCCCAGGAATGGAGTTCTGGGAACTAGAAGAACACGAAGTGGCCTACAGTTGGCTCCGGGCATTCAAAATCATGCCCAGGAATGGAGTTCTGGGAACTTGAAGAGCACGAAGTGGCCTACAGTTGGCTCCGGGCATCCAAAATGTGGCCCGGGAATGGAGTTCTGGGAAATCGAAGAGCACGAAGTGGCCTACAGTTGGCTCCGGGCATCCAAAATGTGGCCCGGGAATGGAGTTCTGGGAAGTCGAAGAGCACGAAGTGGCCTACAGTTGGCTCCGGGCATCCAAAATGTGGCCCGGGAATGGAGTTCTGGGAGCACCAAGAGCGATTTTGCGAGGATGTCCCAAGCGATTTCGGCTTCGGCGGCAGCCGCGGCGGCAGCCTGTCCGGGTCCCGCCCCGACCCCCCTGTGGAGTCATCTGCTGCTCTCTTTTGAGACCACTAGAAACCTATCAGCAAGAGCTGTTAGGTAACAACAACAACAACAACAACAACAACAACAACAACAACAACAACAACAACAACAACAACAACAACAACAACAACAGCAACAACAACAACAACAACAACACCAACAACAACGACAACAACAACAACAGCAACAGCAACAGCAACAGCAACAGCAACAACATCAACATCAACAACACCAACCACAACACCAACAACAACAACAACAACAACAACAACAACAACAACAAGAATAACAACAATCACAACAACAACAACAACAACAACAACAACAACACCAACAACAACAACAACAACCACAGCAATAACGACAACAATCACAACAACAACAATAACAACAACAACAACCACAACAGCAGCAGCAGCAAAAACAACAACAACAACAACGACGACAACAACAACAATAGTAATAATAAAGATAACAGCAACAGCAACAGCAACAGCAACACCAACACTAATACCAACACCAACACCAACAACACCAAGAGCAACAACAGCAACAGCAGCAACAAAAATAACACCAACACCACCAACACCACCACCAACAACAACAACCACAACAACAGCAGCAGCAACAACATAACATACAATTACAGAAGCAGCAGCAACAGCAGCAACAGAAACAGCAACGGCAATAACAACAACAACCACGACGACGACGACGACGACGACGACGACGAGGACGACGACGACGCGCCGCGCCTCGCCGCGGCAGCGAGCAGCTCCACCAGCACCATCGCCATCATCGCCGTCCGCACCGCCGTGGGGGCCGCCGCCCCAGCACTGGCGCCTCGGAAGGCCACGGACACTCCGCTACCGGCACCAGAATCGAGGACCGACAAAACAGCCTTTAGCAGAACGCCCTGTAGTGGAAGCTAGCAGGGGCACTCCACGCGCGCGGCACCGCATTCCGAGTGGGCCCGGGCGGGATAGCCACTCGGCGCCCAGAAGCAAGCGAATGCACCTGGCAAGCCACACGTCGATCAGCAGACCGACTGGGGACTGCACTGGCGCACTCGTATGCCAATGTCGTGTGAAGCCACGCAGATTTCCTGTCGACTCGTCTGGGTGGGCGCTCTCTCGATGAATGCTCCCGCGCGCCAGGCTCCGCCACAAAACCGCCCACGAGCTGTCACTGGCTCGTGGAAGGCCCGCAGCAGGTGGTCGTCCCCGCCAGATCGATCCGCGCGGGCCTCGTGGCCCGGGACCGAGCGCATTCGCCCCCTGTGAGACAAGGGCCGATCCAGGACCTCAGGCCAAGATCCGAGCTAGATCTTGGGACGCCCAGGAATGGGTGCAGTACGGGAAAAATGGGTACGAGGCCCAACAGCACATGCTCTGCCACAACGCACGGCGGCCGCTGTTGGGGATGCGGCCTTCTGTCTCCATTGCGCGACGTCCGCGGGGACAGCGACAACGAGCCCTGTTCAAAATAAACGCGAACTAATGTCGGTCTTCATACCTACTATTTCCGTTGTTCTTCGCGGGGGGATCCCTGGCGTCACGAGCACAAACTGTTAGATTCAAGGCGCCTGAGCGACAAGGTGTCAGAGGTTGCCTCAAAAGTGGGTCTAGAACTCCAGTCGGCCACAGAGTGATGACTAGGACCAAGGCGTCGAGGGTTTCAAACTACTGAGTCCGAGGCGCCTGGGCGACAAAAACTGGAAGCTGCGAGATGTCCGTTCGTTCGGTCCCGTCCGCCCCGCCCGCCCTGGTCTCCCGCCTGCGCGTTCGTCGTCGTCTGCCTGCTTCTCCCCTCCTGCTCCCCCTCCGACGGGCAGCCCGGCCTCCCTGCAGGGACCAGCGTGGCGGCGCGTGCGGGGCTCTCGTTCCCAGACATGCGACGTCCTGACTTTCCCAGGACGGCGTCCCCAGAAGTCCAGATCCCTTCCCTGGGGCCAGCTCTTCATCCTGAGGCGTTTCTTGACGGCCCCGAGGCCCGGTAAAGGCCCCGAGGGGCTGAAAGCAGCGAAAATCCCTGCCGCCCTGATTTCTTTTACGACCTTAAGAACTATGTTTTTAGAACATGAACTCGATGTGTGAAAACGAGACAGTCCTGGCCAGAAATGTTCTAAGACCATTTCGCGGGAACCACAAACAGACCTTAGAACAGTGTGTGGTGGGGCTATGAAAACAGGGCCAGGATCGGGATAAGTCGCTCCAGAGCGTCCCGGAGTGCTCTCAGAGCGTTCCGGAACGCTCTATAGAGCGGCCGCGGCGCCCAACACATCCTCCAAGCCCGCCGATCCTCAGAGATTTCGAGTCATCCCGATCCGATTTTGTCCCGATCTTCGCGTCGTTTTACTATAGCCGAGCCGGGACGCTTCGCCACTGCTCGAGTCCGGGGTCTTCGCGCTCCCCCCTCCCCTGACCTTCCAGAGAGCTATTGTTCAGCACTGGAGGCCTAAAAACCTTACAGACTGGGCGAAACAGCCCAAAACCAAGACGTAGAGAATAGCTCTGGGATAGGGCTTCAAGTCGCGGGCTACGTTTGTTGGCCCTCTTGGAAGGTCAGGGCCACTCCGCAGCCGCTCCCACCGCACCGGAGCTCGCCCCGCCGCCGAGGCCGATGGCCGAGCTCCGAGCTCGGCCCGCCGGCCTCGGGCCGTCGAGGGGGGGCCCGGGGCCCCCGCCGCTGCGGGGGCCGACCCCCGCGGCGGCGACTACCTACCAGACCACCCCAGCCCAACCCGAAGACCCGAATTTCGGGTTGGGGGGGTACGGGTTCCCTACGTGTCTTCTCGATGTTCCCCGGCCCCCCCCCCCACAAGAAATGGAAGGCAAATTGGGGCCTTCGGGTTGGGTTGGGGTGGTTTGGTGGGTGGTGAGGCGGCGGGCCCTGGGCGCTCAAAACGACGCGAAGATCGGGACAAAATCGGATCGGGATGACTCGAAATCTCTGAGGATCGGCGGGTTCGGAGGATGTGTTGGGCGCCGCGGCCGCTCTATAGAGCGTTCCGGAACGCTCTGAGAGCGCTCCGGGACGCTCTGGAGCGACTTATCCCGATCCTAGGCCTGTTTTCATAGCCCCACCAAACACTGTTCTAAGGTCTGTTTGTGGTTCCCGCGAAATGGTCTTAGAACATTTCTGGCTAGGACTGTCGGGATAAGTCGCTCCAGAGCGTTCCGGAACGCTATGAGAGCGCTCCGGAACGCTCTGGAGCGATTCATCCCGATCCTAGCCCTGTTTTAGGCGCTGGGGCCGACCCCCGCCGAGCGGGGGTCGACCCCCGCGGCGGCGGGGCATCGGCGCCGTGCTCGGCCAAATACGACGCGACCGGGCCGACGCAGCGCCGACCGGCCGAGCTCTGGCGCAGGGCGAGGCCAGGACGAGGATGAGATGCGCCGGCCCCTGTCGTTGTCCGCTCGAGGCAGTCGGGCTTTTCCGTCCCAGACCTCGGGCGTCTCGAAAAAATCGAGACAGAGGTTTTCCATAGTTTTTGGCCTCTCGGGGCCCTCGCCGGTCCTCGGGACCGTCAAAAAACGACTCGGGATGAATAGCTGGTCCCAGGGAAGTGGTCGGGAGGTCGGGGGCCCGCGTCTCGAAAAAATCGAGACGTCGGATGTCTGGGGAGTCGGGCTTTTCCGTGGGAGGTCCAAAGCAAAACTGAATGACGTCGGAGTGGAATCGAAGGGAAACCTCTTCCCTTTGATCCCTTCCCCGCGCCATGGGGAGGTGGGGTCGGGGGGGGGTCATGGGGGTTCCGAGGGTGTCCTGGGGGTTCCTGCAGGGGGTCCGGGGGGGGTCCCAGGGGGGGGTCCCAGGGGGGGTCCCACACAGATGCGTTTTCCCCCTGCGCCGCGGCCCGCTCAGGCTCCCGCCCCGACACCCGCTCCGGCGCCGGCCAGAGACCCGGACACAGCCCAACCCAGGGGGCCGCAGCCCGGGTCCTAGCCCCGGCGCCCCTGCCCCGGCCCTCCTGGCCCCGGGCTCCCAGCCCCAGCCGTGGCCCCAGCCTCGGCCTCGGCCCCAGCCCCGGCCCTGGCCCTGGCCCAGGCCCCAGACGCGGCCCCAGCCCAAGCCCCAACAGAGCCCAAGAGGCTCCAAGAAAGGCTCCAGAGCGTCAGCGTCGTCGTCGTCGCCGCTGCTGCCGCCGCCGTCGTCGTCGCCGTCCCCCTTCAGGGTCGGTGGCACTGGCCGCCAGGCCTTCCCAATCGGGCGTTCCGGAAACGGATTTATCCTCGTCCTAGCCCCGTCCGATGGCGCCCGAGATCGGCTGGCCAAGGCTCCAACTGTCCGCAACGGCCGACTTCTGTGGGCCGTGCCCGCTGCACCACGCTCGGCCGCCACGGGCCCCAGAAATCCGACGTCTCGATTTATTCGAGACGCGGGCCCCCGACCTCCCGACCACTTCCCTGGGACCGGCTATTCATCCCGAGTCGTTTTTTGACCGTCCCGAGGCCCGGCGAGGGCCCCGAGAGGCCAAAAACTATGAAAAACCTCTGTCTCGATTTTTTCGAGACGCCCGATGACTGGGGCTGAGGATGGGCAGGAGCGCCTGCGCTGGCTGCTGCCGGGGGAGGGGGGGGCCCAGGGTTGTTGGGGCGGCAGGACACAGCTAAGACTCCCCCGTTGGGCCTCCGGGGGGGCGCCCTGCCCTCTCATCCGTCCCCCCGCCGCCCTCCCTCCGTCCCCATGGCTCTTCCGCCTCCGCCCCTCTCCGTCCACGCCCGTCCTGCCTCCCTCCTGGGGGCCGACCGCCAACCAAGCCCCCCCTGCACAGGCCGCGGGCTCCGCGCGCCACAGCCTCAAAGGCGTCGGGTGCGACAGGGGCTGGGCCTGGCGGCTGCTGCAGCCGGCTGATCCCCCCTTGCTCTTCCCTCCCCCCCTCCCTTCCTCGCACAGCCCCGACGTCGTGCGGTGTCATCCAACGCGGAACCCCAGAGCTCCGGACCCTGTCCTCACGACCCGCGTTCCACCCCGCGTCGCTCCTTGACAGTCCCGGGGCACGGCGAGGGCCCGGAGAGGCCGAGCATCCCCCAGAAACCTTCCTCCGCGGTTCTTGCTACGACGCGCGAGGGGGTCTAGGGCACTTCTCCCTCCCTCCCGCCATTCCTCCTCTCCGCTCCCTCGATCTCCCACCCCCCCTCGGCGTCGGAAGCGACTGGGGCTGGGGCCAGCGGCTGCCGCGGCGGAGGCTGCCACACGCTGCGGGCCGGGGTCGCGACGGCAGAGGGTAAGGACATAACGAAAGCAGGTGCGATCAAAGAACAGAGTGTGTGACGGCATCGATCAGGCCTCGACATGAGCAACGACTGGCTGAGCACACGAGTGACGACCAGCAGTTCGGATGCAGCCCCTGGCAGGTGTTCATGAAGACAAAAAAAGCGGTCGAACCCGATCCAAGGATCACTCAGACAGATTAGCCCGAATTAGGCCCGGGATTGAGCCTGATTGGGCGGGAGTCAGCCACATGAAGCTGGATCATGCCAGTCTTCGACCACGCATATACCAGCGCCGATGCATCCTAAGAGCAACGACTGGCTGAGCATACGAAAGGCGACAAACAGATGTCAGAGCGTCGGCCAGACAGACACAACAACCAACACACCAGCGGCGGCCAAGGGAGACAACGGATATACCGAAAGCGAGAGACCAGACAGGACTTCGAATCCTCGCAAGAATAAACAAGTTCACGGGGGAGAGGGGCGGCACAAGCGGCGTGGACAGGGAGAACGGGATGGCGAGGGGAGCATCATGACCAGTGGGAGTCCCGATATGAGGAGCGAGCTGTGAGGAACTTTGTCAATGTGATGTGTTAGGTTTCTTGCTCATTGTTCTCAATGCAATAGACGAGCGCGCGCGCGACGGGAAACGCATGTCACATCGCCAAAGGCTGAGAAAAACGCTGCGGCGAAAAAGATAATCCTGGTTATCATCTGGACGCGAAGACGAAGACTCAGCGCGGCGCAACGTTGTTGGCCCTCAGGCCTCCGAATTATCATTAGAGACGCCCTTGATCTGCATCAATTCCATCTGAAAGACAAGCGCAGTGCCGCCTGGAATCACTAATCCAGCGCCCCTGGCCCCCCTCTCGCCGTAAGCGAGCTCGGAGGGGATGTACAACTCCCACTTGTCGCCCTCGACCATCAGCTGCATCGCCTCCGTCCAACCCCTGATCACCTGATTGGGAGCGAACGTGCTTGGCTGGCCCCTGTCGTACGAGGAGTCGAATTGCGTGCCGTCGGTGAAGGTGCCCTTGTAGTGGCACAAGCACGGAGAATCGATGCGCGGATGGTGCGTCCCGTGGCCTATCTGGAGCACCTTGTACATCAAGCCCGAACTGAGCGTGACGACGCCCTCCTCCTTGGCCTTTCCCTCGAGAAACCTCTTCCCGGCCTCGTCAGTCGCCAGGGCGTGGCCGCTGAGGAGGGCGAGCACCATCAGCTGGCGAACGCGGGCCGTATCAACGGCCTTGCCCCCAGCCATGACGGCACAGAAAGTGTTGCGATTGCCTGTCTGGAGTCCGAATAAAAACAGTACAAGCCAGAGCTACGGACGGCGTGTCCCTGCTCCTGTAGCTTGTCGAAAGGAAGTGGAACTCGCGATATGCCCAAGCGCTCAGACCGTTCCCAACCCAGGCAGAACAACGCACAGCGGACCACGTCCGCCACCTTGCCATAGGCACAGTGGGACGAGTTCGCATGCCTGCTAGATGTAGGCGGCCCCTCCCCCCTCCTGGGGCGTGACAGGGTACAAACAGCGTTTTCACTAGCGTTGATCCCCAGCACTCTGTCGACATCTATGCGACTGAAAGTTTGTCAAATACCACCCCTAAACACTTGTAACAACCCACAAAACTCTCCAAGGGCGGGCCAACGAGCCCCAGCAAGCTCCAAGGTATCAGCAAGATGTCCCGAAAGGCCGCAAGAGAACTCCAAAAGACGCCCAACCATCAAACGATGCACCACGAGGTAAAACAAATAGGCACCTGAAGGATCCGCTGTTTTTGCGTCCGATGATTTCGGGCATCAGACCGATTTGGGCAGGTTACAGAGCCTCAGGAGTATGCACGCAAGTCCGCCCAAGATGGCCGCAAGAGCGCCTTCAGACAGACCCAAGATACACGAGAACGCACCAAGATGTCCCAAGAGGGCACCACGATGGTCCTAACGCCCGCCCAGAAGCCCACCACAATTTTTCAATCGAGCCCACGGGAAGAGAGATATGCAAACGCAGAACCATCGCGCACAAGCTGGCCTCGAACCCCCGACAGGCTTCGACGGATCCCATCCAAGTGAGCCCAAAGAGGCCGCCGAGAAGGCCCGAAAGAGTCCCCCAAGAAACCCCCAAGAAGCCCCGAAGAGGCGCCAAAGGCGGGGAGGGAAGAGGTGGGGAAGGAGAAAGAAAAAGGAAGGAGGACCTGTGAGGCCCCACCCAGACTCTTCAAACAGACCTCTGAACTAAAGAGCAGTCTGTTGTTACAAAAAAACTCCTCCCCTTGATGATGCGCTGGCACGGTGACGGGCTTGGCCGCGGGCAGCTAGACGCAGTGCTCCCAGCCACGGCCAGACGTTCAGGCAAAAACGGCAGCACGAGGCTGCAAGACTGTCAGACATACAATCGCTGTGTCTGGCTCGCTGCTTGAATAGCCGCGACCGTGCCAGCACGGTTGCCAGGGCGCCAGCCTGCGGGCAAAGCAGGGTCACCGACCCCCACGGCCAGTGAGAGATTCGATGGGACCTCGCTAGGGCTTAGTGGGCCCTGGAAACGACAGGGCCGTGTTTTTACCAGTTCCGTTTTGCCGTTGTTTGTCGGTTCCGACGCCGTTTGTGTTACCGGTTTCGTTGCCGTTTTTTGACCGGTTCCGGCTCCGGTTCCAATCCTGGAGCCGTGTTTTTGCCATTTCCGGTCGCGGTTTTTTGGCCGTTGTCATTTTCAAGGGGCATTTTTTTAGGAAACGGTGAAAAAACGGCCCTGCCGTTTCCGGGGCCCACAAAGGACGTGACCCGTGGAAGAAGAAGGGCACCCCTCTGGAAGAGGCGAGAAGGCATGCTCGAACAGACCCTGTCTCAAGGGGGGACCAAGGACACACAAAGAAATACACACAGGTAAGAATATTCCCCACATTTTCCCAAATGTTCTGGGCTTCTGTCCCCCCGCCCAATTCCCATGTTTTCCTATATTTTCATGGAGATCGACGATTATTGGAGGCCTAGAATGGGCACCAACACCAACACAAGGGGTTGCCTCATTATGGGGAAGGGGACCCTAGATTTCGGTGTTGGTGGCAATACTTCGGTCACCTTGGAAGCCAGAATATTACCACCATCACCGAGATCGGGATCTTCTTCCCTCGCTGGAGGCACACCCCCGATCTTGGTGTTGGTGTCAATCTCTAGGCCTGCGAGATTAACGGTGTCTGTGTGTTTGTCCCCCTCCTGACTGTCGGAGCTCCCGCAGCGGCGCCGACCCTCCCCCCCCCCGGCGGTGCGGGTGCCCCGCGCGCAGCAACGCTGCCAGCCCCCCCATGCCCCACCCCCCACCCCCCGCCAGGGGGGTTGTGCATGCCCTCGTCCTCCTCCTCCTCCTCCTCCTCCGCCTCCTCCTCCTCCTCCTCCTCCGCTCCTCCTCCTTCTCCTCCTCTCCCCCCCTCCTCCTCCTCCTCCTCCTCCTCCTCCTCCTCCTCCTCTCTCCTCCTCCTCCTCCTCCTCCCTCCTCCTCCTCCTCCTCCTCCTCCTCCTCCTCGTGCTCCTCGTGCTCCTGCTCCTCCCCCACCTCCCCCATGTCTCCTCCTCGCCGCCGTCCGCCACCACTCCCACATAGTATCCCTCATCTTTTTCCTCACCCCTGCTCGCCCTCATCCTTTCGTTATTGGCCCCGCTTCCTCATCTTCTCCCGCCTACCCTTGCCCTCCTCCTCCTCCCCCTCCTCCTCCTCCTCCTCCTCCTTATCTCTTCTCCGTTTCCCCAGCGTCCCGGCGCCCCACCCTCCACGTGCACCTCCTCTCGTACACCCCCTCAGCGGCGACGTCTCGGAGCGGCGGCAGGGTCATCAATGCGCGGGCGGCGCCTCACGATGCTGCTCGCGCTGAAGCTACCAGGATGGGATCCTGGGGTGTTGCTGCCGCGTCAATGTGTTTGCCAATGGCTGGAAATCTGGCTTTCGCATGCTGAACTTCGGCTCTCCATCGTCCGCACTTGGCCTAGGGCGGTGGCGCACATGCTGAGCTGTCCCGCTGGGACATAGAGCTCATTACTCTCGCGGGCCCATGACAACAGTGATGGTGTATCTTCTGGAGGCTGGATAGTCAGTCGTTTCGCCCACCAAGTGGAGTGGGAACTGCCGCATGATGGCCCATCGATGACACAAATCTGGCAATTCCAAGGCAGTGAATTCAAGGCGCTGGATCAGGCAGGCCAACTCTTGGAGGATCTTCAGCAGAGCTTCGAGCTGAAACAATGGCATGCGGCCACTGACTTGTTCTGCGGCGGCGGGCTCGAGACGGCGTGGACATGGGCTCCCTGAGGTCCATGGTGAGCGACCTCCTCTGCGTCAGGATGGAAAGGCAAAGCTCCGAGCTGCTAGTCTTCATCGCGACGGGCGGCTGCTGGACTCGTGAGAGGGGTCATCAGACAGGCCTGTGCGATTCAGATCTGGGTCTGGGATGTGGAAAGGACAGAGGAACCCAGTTGCACAGGTGCTGGACACGTGAGGCTAACGCCAGCTCCTCACCCAGAATTTCTGCTGATTCGAATGAGGCCATATCATAGCCATATCCCCGCCCCGTGGACCCGGGTCCCCTCCCCTCCATCTAAGGAGTCGCTGGGGTGGCAGCCTCGTTGGCGGGAGACGTGGTGATGCGTGTCTCGGGACGGGATCTCAGGAGGTTCCCCGAGTGGCTTTCGGAGACGCGCCTGGAGGCCGAGGCACCCATGACTCTAGGCTGCGCAGGGTTGGCATAGCGGTAGCTGCCTTCCCAAGTGTCGGGCCCCTCTGTCCAGGCCCTCGTCTCTTAGGGCCGCCCCCTGGGCCAGCTCAGACCGTCCCTGGGGTTGACCTACTAGCGTTTCTGTGGGCGCTCCGATTCTCGGCAGGACCGCTCGTCTATGCCACTGATTGCGCAGAGGCTGCGAGAGAGTGAGATGCTGAACGAATGTTTACGACCCGAAAGGGCACAGTCCGACCTCCGGAAAGGTCGGCAAGACGCCTGCACGGCGCAGCAGGCACCCTTCAAGCATCGCGATTCTGCACATGTCCTCGCATATTTGCGCCACTGAAGATCTGCCTCGGGGCATCCCAAGTTGATTGGCTCTCGAGAACACCTGTGTGGACGCCCTTGCTGGGAAGGCTACCGCGCGCGCGTGCGTCCCCCAGGCCAGTCGTCATCGGGCCCCGTCCATGGCAATGGTCGTGCGTAGGAGGCTACTGAGAGTCGGTCTTGACTCAACTCGGGCTTCCCAAGTTTCGGCAGAGGCCTCCGCCTCCGCCTCCCCCTCCTCCCCTGGCAGTTGCACGCTTCGCGTCTCAGCACTCATTGACCGAAATTGGTAAGGCGCGTGTGCAAGAGTTCGGCGTGAAGAGCGGCGTTGCCTGGATGGTTAGTAGCAGAGTGCTTCCAACCCGAGAAGGTGAATCGTGTGCTGGCCCGCGTTCAGAGAGGACCACGCTTGCACTTAGCTGGGGGTTGGACCCATCCCTCACGTGCCCTTTATACTTGGGGAACTCCAAGTGTACCAATATCGCTACTCCCCGGGCCTTTCCCGGGGTGCGTTCTGACCAGGATTTCGAGGCGAATCCAGCGGTGGCGACGAGGGCCTCCCAGGAGGCCCAAAAAGGGGAAAACGGGCGAAGGGTAGAGGTATTCCACCACTCACGAAGGCCCGCCGCGAGTACCTCTTTACAGGATAAGTCGCGACCTGTTTCCGAAGCGCTGAGCCTTGAGCATGGTTCTACCACGACGGGGTGGCAGAACCCCTGGAATCCCTGGACTCCTCGCACCTCCTACTCCCCCCTCCTCCCCTTGCCGCCCTTCCCCCTCTCCTCCCCGCCCCCCTCCTGGGCCCCCCTCATCCCCCCTCTTCTTAATCACGCTCCCTTCACCCCTCCCAATCTTGCAGTAGCCACAGCATGCTGGAGGAGGACGGCATACAGTGGTTGTCACGACAGGCTGTCCAAGCAAAAACCCTCCTCCCCCCTGTTCACTTCCCTCCTCCGCGTCGGACCCCAGACCTCCGACGTCTGGATTCTTGACTAACTATATGACCCCCCGACCTCTGCACTCTGCCTGACGATCACCTCTTCAATCCCGAGTCCACTCTTGACGGGCGCGGGTCCCGAAACGGGCCTCGAGCGGCCGAAGGCCGTCTAACGACTGCTCGAGACGCTGAAGGCCTCGGCTTGGGGATCAAACATCGAGCCCCGGACATCGACGGGAACACAGCAAACAGATGGCTCCCGGAAGCCCAACTGGAGAGGCCAAGAGCTCCCCGAACCACATGGATGCTCCAGGAGCACGACGAGCCGAGGCCAGTAATCCCCCGACTCCCTCCGGGGCCCAGGCGCACCAGGCTCCCCGAGCTGCGCCCAGCCGTGGCAACGGCCCCCCCCCCCCCCCCCCAAAGGCCGACCACCGCTGCCTCGCCTCGCCCTCCCCCGATCCTCGGCCCTCGAGCCTCGATCCTCGAGCCTCCTCCTCGGCCCTCGAGCCTCGGCCCTCGAACCTCGATCCTCGGCCCTCGAGCCTCGTCCTCGAACCTCCTCCTCAGTCCTCGGCCCTCGAGCCTCGGCCCTCGAACCTCGATCCTCGGCACCCGATCCTCGAGCCTCATCCTCGCTCCTCGAGCCTCGATCCTCGGCCCTCGAGCCTCGGTCCTCGAGCCTCCTCCTCCTCCTCGTCGCCGCAGGGGGCGCAGGGCACCCGCGGCCGCTGCAGCGCCGCCAGCACCTGGCGGAGGGCGCGCCCCCGCGCGGCGGCCCACGAGCGCGCAACGCAGCGGAGGCCAGCCGCGCGTCCGCGCGGCGGCCCGCCCTCCCGGGACCCCCTGCGCGGGGGGCGGAGGGGGACCCCTCCGAAGAGTCGGGGCCATCCGCTCGGCCTCCCTCCGCCGCCCCCATCCTCCCTCCGCCTCCCTCCGCCTCCCTACTCCTCCCTCCGCCTCCCTCCGCCTCCCTCCTCCTATTCGTCCTCCTCCTCCTCCTCCTCCTCCTCCTCCTCCTCCTCCTCCTCCTCCACCTCCACCTCCTCCTCCTCCTCCTCCACCTCCTCCTCCTCCTCCTCCTCCTCCTCAGTCCCTCTCCTCCTCTTTGCCCTCTCAAATCTCGGCGTCGCACTCATTCGTGGTCTCGGGGGCGCCACGATTGTTGCACTTGCAATGGTTTTGTCAAACTCCTGGCCCCGCGCTCAGAGTCTCGTTCGTTTCGAAACAAATCGCCTGGAGGTCGGCGGGATGGCATCAGACTCTTGCATAAAGAGATCCAAGTTCTAGAACATAACTGTGCAATATGATAAGTTCTCTTCTTCGCACTTCCAAGCATGTCGGTAGGGCGGGTCGGGCGTTACGCCTGAGACTTTCTCACCGCTTCTGATCCTGATGGAGGCCGGGTGGCTTCTAAAATGTGACTCTCGCCTTCGCGCTGCGCACACTCGTCTTCAAACTGTAGATATGACAAAGATGGATGCCGGCCAGTGTTCAAACTATATTGAATTCCAAGGCTGTGTGTGCTGGCACGGTTTAGGTTTCCCAGGCCGCAACAAGCATGTTGACTCGCGCTTTGAAGTCCCAAGATTACCATTTTGGTGCGATTGAAAATTCTCAGACTGTTGTCTTTCAGTGAGGCACTTCACGCAATAATCGAAAACATGCAGGGACCAATGAGGGGAGACCTCGGAGGGAGGGCTGACTGCATCAACTTTGGTGCTCCGTGGGTCTCCCTCCTCCATCTTCCCTCCTCCTTCTCCTTCTCCTCCCTCCTCCTCCCCCTCCCCTCCTTCTCCCTGATCCTCCCTCCTCCTCCTCCTCCTCCTCCTCCTCCTCCTCCTCCGCCTCCTCCTCCTCCTCCTCCTCCGCCTCCGCCTCCGCCTCCTCCTCCTCCTCCTCCTCCCTCCTCCCTCCAACTACCTGGTCATCCCTCCCCCCCATCCTCCTCCTCATCCTCCTCCTCCTCCTTCTCCTCCTTCTCCTCCCTACTACCTGATCATCCCTTCTCCTCCTCATCATCCACCTCCTCCTTGTCATCCTCCTCCTCATCCTCTCTCCGCCTGTTCCTCCTGCCTCCACCTCCTCCTCCTCCTCCTCCTCTGTTTCCTCCTTTTCCCCTCCCCCGCCTCCTCCACCGCGACCTCTGGCTATCGAAGCTATGGGCGAGTCTAGCAGCTGATGGGCACTATCATCTTCTCCCCCTCCCTCCTCCTCCTCCCTCCTCCTCCTCCTCCTCCTCCTCCTCCTCCTCCCCTCCTCCTCCACCTCCACCTTCTCCTCCTCCTCCTCCTCTCCTCCTCCTCCTCCCTCCGCCTCCTCCTCCGCCTCCTCCTCCACCTCATCCTCATCGTCACCATCACCATCACATCACGATCAGCATCATCATCATCATCATCATCATCATCATCATCATCATCATCATCATCATATCATCATCATCATCATCATCATCATCAGCATCATCATCATCATCATCATCATCATCATCATCATCATCAGCATCATCATCATCATCATCATCATCATCATCATCGTCATCGTCATCATCATCATCAACAGCAGCAGCATCATCATCATCAGCAACAGCATCAACATCAGCACCATGATCATGATCATCATCACAATCAACATCAACATCATCATCAGCAGCATCATCATCGTCATCATCATCATCATCATCATCATCATCATCTTTATCAGCATCATCATCATCATCCTCATCCTCATCAGCATTATCATCAGCATCATCAGCATCATCATCAGCATCATCAGCATCATCATCATCATCATCAGCATCAGCATCCTCATCAGCATCAGCATCATCATCATCATCAGCACCATCATCATCATCACCATCAACATCATCATCAGCATCATCATCATCTTTATCAGCATCATCATCATCAGCATGATCATCATCAGCATCCGCATCTTCAGCATCAGCATCAGCAGCAGTAGCATCATCAACATCAACATCATCATCATCATCAGCATCATCATCGTCATCATCATCAGCATCATCATCATCGTCAGCATCACCATCATCATCGTCATCATCATCAGCATCATCAGCATCAGCATCATCATCAGCATCGTCATCAGCATCAGCATCAGCATCAGCACCATAATCATCATATCATCATCAGCATCCACATCATCGTCATCGTCATCATCATCAGCATCATCATCGTCGTCGTCGTCATCGTCGTCATCAGCATCATCAACATCATTATCATCGGCATCATCATCATCGTCACCATCATCACCATTATCATCATGATCAGCATCAGCATCAGCATCAGCATCATCATCATCATCATCATCGTCATCATCCTCATCATCATCATCATCAGCAACAAGAGCATCATCAGCATCATAATCAGCAGCAGCATCAGCATCAGCATCATCATCATCAGCATCATCATCACCAGCATCATCACCACCACCACCACCATCATCATCATCAGCATCATCATCAGCATCATCAGCATAACTATCATCATCACCACCATCATCACCACCACCACCATCATCATCAGCATCATCATCATCACCACCACCACCGCCACAACCATCATCATCATCAATCTCATCATCAGCAGCATCATCATCATGCCTGTCATCGACATCATCATCATCGTCATCAGCAGCATCATCATCAGCATCCTCAACATCATCATCGTCATCGTCAGCATCATCATCAACATCATCATCATGATCAGCATCGCCATCAGCATCATCATCATCTTCATCAGCATCATCCTCATCATCATCAGCAACAACAGCATCATCAGCATCATACTCAGCAGCAGCATCAGCATCATCATCTCCATCATCATATTCATCCTGCAACCTCCTCCTCCTCCTCCTTCTCCTCCTGTGGCGCTCTTGAAGAAACAGAGGAGCAGAATAGTACGATTCGGGTCAAGATGCTGGCGGGCGCCGCGTGAAATGGCATAAGTAAAGCTGAGGCCGAGAAGCATAAAAACGAGTAGGCGCCCGCCAGGTCGTCGAGGTTGGCACTAACCTTATCCTCCTCCTCCTTCTCCTCCTCCTCCTGCTCCTCCTTCTCCTCCTCCTCCGCCTCCTCCTCCTCCGCTTCCTCCTCCTCCTCCTCCTCCTCCTCCTCCTCCTCCTCCTCCTCCCCCCCTTTTCCCCTCCCCCTCCTCCTCCGCCTCCTGCTTCTCCTCCTACGCCTCATGTCTCTCCTCGTTTCCTTCCCCTTCCCCAGCCTCCGCCCGTGAAACTTAGTGGAAACCTTTGGAAGTCTTCGGAAGCAAACGGAGGCCCCTGGGCACTGGATGCCTCCAAGCCTCCAGAGGCCCGACTGATAGCAAGCGCAAACGATCAGAACCTAAACCTCGACGCTCGAGTCTCGATCCCGGATCTTCGATGACGGCGATGACGACGACCCCTGTGCTCCTGGCGTCCCGTCCAAAATCATCCCAAGCCCGTCACGGGTCCCGCCACATTTTGGCCCACCCTCGTTCCAGATCGACAGCAACCCCGCTGTATTCGATACACAGAACTCCATCATAAAGAATCACACACTGAATAAACATATACCCTGGGAGATCCACGCACATGTTTTGGATCGGCGATGGAACCCCCTCCCTGGCGCACAGAGCGCGTCAGGCGCGGCGCAACCAGGGGGGCCCAGCGCCGATCCACGAAATACGCGCAGACACTCAAAGCATATGTTTATGCTGGCCTGCAAACCGACATCCGACGATGACGACGAAGACGAGGACAGCTGCCCTGTGATGCCTGCCCCCTCCCCTCCCGCAGCTGACGAGCCCCGCCCAGGTCGGCACCTCTGCACGGTAGTGCAGGCCGACGACGCCGACGCTCGCCGAGGCGGCGGACGCGAGGCTGCTGAGGAGGACCCAGGGCAGCGCGTCCTCCCCGGGCGCTCCGCCCGACTCTCGAAGGCAACTCCTGGGAGGCCTTCGCAGCAACGACGAAGGGCGATCAAGCCCGACGAGGGAGACATGAGCACGAATTAGCACGGCTTGGGCCCACAGATTGCTGAGCTAAGCGGGTTCGGGCTCGATCGAGGGGGACTGCGCCGGCTGAGGCCTGCCTCCGACCTTTGGTATACCAGCGCCGATGGTGGGCTCAACTCCCCAGGAGCTGCATCCACGAGGAGGGTCAATTGGGAGAAGGAGGAGGAGGAGGTGAAAGCCCCGCTCCAGGCCGCTCTGGGATACGATCAGCGGCCTGCCTCCGTGCGCCCATCGGCCCTTTCGCGGACGCACACACACACACAAACACAAACGAACAAATACAAACGCACGCACGCACGCACGCACGCACACGTACACACACACACACACACATACACACATACACACACACACACACACATACACACACACACACACACACACACACACACACACACACACACACACACACACACACACACACACACGCACACGCACACGCACGCACGCACACGCACACGCACACGCGCGCGCGCGCTCGCGCGCCGAGGGCTGGCCAACCGGAAGCGCCACGGCACTCCCTCGCCGTCCCTCGAAACAAGGCGCCTCCCCGGGGAGCGACGCGCGGACGGCGGCCACTCCCAGGGGGAGGGGGCCGACCAGGGCCTCCTGCCTCCCTTCCTCCCTTCCTCCCTCTCTCCCTCCCTCTCCCTCTCTCCCTCCCTCTCTCTCCTTCCTTCTCTCTCCCTCTCTCTCTCCCTCCCTCTCTCTCTCATTCTCTCTCTCCCTCCCTCTCTCTCCCTCCCTCTATCTCTCTATCCTCGCCTCCCCCCCTCCTACTTCTCCACCTCCTCCCGCGGCGGCGCCGCGCGGCGTCCTTTGCCAGGAGGATCATCTGCAGGGCCTTCCTGAACTCCTGCCACGGGGCTCGAGCTTCGAGACTAGACGATCTGGCGTCCGAGATGGAGACTTGAGCCTCGGATCGGGCGTCGCATGTGCTCCTCCAACTGTGCCTCTGGGAGCCTCCTCGTCGCCACGGCCGGACTCCCCTCGAAATTCTGGTCAGAACGCGCCCCAGGAGAGACCCAGGGTGCGATAATCGACCCAGCACTGTCCAAGCATTTGACCTGCTGTCGTCCTCTGTTCAGTCCCAGCGTTCTCCCCCGATTTCGACCTGTGGGAACCACTTTCAGCCCCCAAGGCGCTCAGAAATGGAAACCCTGCTCCGCTCGGTTCGGGCCTCCCGGGGCGTTCTTGTCGCCAAGGCCGGACTCCCCTCCGGATTCCGGCCAACACACACACACACACACCCACACACATTCACACACACGAACACAAACACACACACACACACACACACACACACACACACACACGCACACACACACACGAACACATACATACACAGACACACACACACACACACACACCTGGCGAGGCCTGGGGACAGACCTTTGAACGCTGAGCCTGACGAGCGACGAGCATATCCACGTCCATGCCCTCGCGGTCTGGATACAACCAGAGCGCGATTTTGGACGCCCGAAATGGGCACGGAAACAATGGGCACAATGCCCAACAGCAAATGTTGTCCCGAACCAACAGCGGCCGCTGTTGGGCAGGCGGCCCTCTGTCTCAAATGGACACAGGCCGCGGCGGCGCGGACAGCGAGTCCTGTTCAAAATGAACAGGAACTGCTGTTAGGCATCGTACCCATTCTTTCCGTGCCCATCTCGTTCGTGCAGAGCGACCCCTCGGAGGCGCCATCGCATGGGTACCGCCCTGCATCACCAGTGCGGCGGCCGAGGAGCCCGGACCGCCAGCCCTTCGCCCTCCGCCCTGCCTCCTCTTTCGGGGAGAGGCGCACCGCTGCTCCTCATCAGCATGGACCCCCTCCCCCGCCTGAACGGGGGGGAATACATCACCATGCAAGCACCCCCTCCCCCACCACCGCTTACAGATGGGGGTGGGGAGGGCGCTGGCGTTGCACCATGCTCGAAAGCGTTGCAATGACACGTCCGCCGCCGTGCCGCTAAGCACGGAGTGGGCGCGTCCTCAGGTCCTTCGCCTGATCCCCCGAGCCTCAGTCCTGACTCCCGAGGAGTCTCTTGGGGGCCCAGACCCTACATAAATATATATATATATATATATACATATATATATATAAGTGTGTGTGTGTGTGCGTATGTGTACGTTTCACGCCCACGTGCGAGAGGAGAAGGAGGAGGAGGAGGAGGAGGAGGAGGAGGAGACCGTCGGCGGCCTCTTCCCTGAGGAACGCCTTCTCACCCCGAGACGCTGCTCTCCCGATGGCACCGCTGGGAGCCCCAGAGGCCGGCGCCAGCAGGCCCGGCCGGGACCGAAGGACTGCCGCCTCGACCCTCCCGAGCCCATCAGGTGCCCGAGGAGCGGGCGCGGCGAGCGCGCGCGCGCGCGCCCGTCCTGCCGCCGCTGCCGCCGCCGCACCCACCGGCCCTCCCGGTACGCCTCGTGCACCTCCAGCCGCAGCGCCTGCGGGGGAGGGGGGGGTCGCCGGGCGCGCGCGGGGCCCCCGCGCGCGGGCGCGCGCCTCGCGCGCCCGCCCCCCCCCCCCGCGGGCCGAAGAGGCAGCCCCCCCCTCCGCTTCGCCGGCAGCGCCTCCTCCTGCTGCTCCTCGCCCCGCTCGCCGCGCAGGTCGAGCCGGGGAGCTCGGCCGCGAGGCGGCCTGCCTCGCCCCCCTCCTCCTCCTCCCCTCCTCCTCCCTCCTCCTCCTCCTCCCTCCTCTCCTCCTCCTCCTCCTCCTCCTCCTCCTCCTCCGTTCCCCCCGCTCGGGCCTGCGATGTCGCACCCGAGTTGGCCTGGGCGGTGGGCACGGACCAGTCGACCCTCCCTGGGACGGACCACTTTGCTGTCCGACGCCGGAGATGTTGCGCGATTGCCCCTGGGCGCTCAACGGGCCCACTGTGCCCGAAATCGCTAAAATCGCACAAAGGCATATCCAATCAGCTGCTCAGACGTAGAACGTTAAGACAGCGCGCTGATAGCAGGCGATAGCAGAGGATGGAACATACGGTTGCCTATACTCTCGATTCTCTGTGGTAATATATGCTAAAGACTGTATCCCCTCTCCCATGCAATAGTTTAAATCTACACTGCGCCCTCCCCTTCTACACCTGCTTGCTCTCATACTACCCTCGCCTCTCGTTGTACTGATTGACCTCTACTCTCGACTCGCGACTCCCCAGTGCTTGCACGATCTCTACGCAATCATACCCTCGACTCTATACGTATGTATGGATGTCGATGTTATTCCGTGATCTCCCTTGGTTGCCTTCCTATTTCTCGTTCTCTCTCTCTCTCTCTTTCTCTATCTCTCTCTATCTCTCTCTTCCTATTTCACTCGTTGTTTCCCAACCATCATGTGGTGTTGGGTCCTCGTTCTGAAGAGACGGTCCCCGCGTTCCTCCTCCACTTCTCCTCCTCCTCCTCCCTCCTCCCCCTCCTCCCTGCGTTTCACCCACCCAGTACAGCGCTTCGTGGCCCCATAGGGAGCTCCACCGAAGGCCCCAGTGCTGCCGCCCGCATGCGTCAGCCACACCAATTCGGCACACCCCTCACACGTTCGTGGCCCCATAGTGTGCCGCCGCCCGCATGCGTCAGCCACACCCAATTCGGCACACGTTTCGTGGCCCCATAGGGAGCTCCACCGAAGGCCCCAGTGCTGCCGCCGCATGCGTCAGGGCGTAGGGAGCTCCACCGAAGGCCCCAGTGCTGCCGCCCGCATGCGTCAGCCACACCCAATTCGGCACACCCCTCACACGTTTCGTGGCCCCATCCACCGAAGGCCCCAGTGCCGCCCGCATGCGTCAGCCACACCCAATTCGGCACACCCCTCACACGTTTCGTGGCCCCATAGGGAGCTCCACCGAAGGCCCCAGTGCTGCCGCCCGCATGCGTCAGCCACACCCAATTCGGCACACCCCTCACACGTTTCGTGGCCCCATAGGGAGCTCCACCGAAGGCCCCAGTGGTGCCGCCCGCATGCGTCAGCCACACCCAATTCGGCACACCCCTCACACGTTTCGTGGCCCCATAGGGAGCTCCACCGAAGGCCCCAGTGCTGCCGCCCGCATGCGTCAGCCACACCCAATTCGACACACCCCTCACACGTTTCGTGGCCCCATAGGGAGCTCCACCGAAGGCCCCAGTGCTGCCGCCCGCATGCGTCAGCCACACCCAATTCGGCACACCCCTCACACGTTTCGTGGCCCCATAGGGAGCTCCACCGAAGGCCCCAGTGCTGCCGCCCGCATGCGTCAGCCACACCCAATTCTGCACACCCCTCACGCGTTTCGTGGCCCCATAGGGAGCTCCACCGAAGGCCTTAGTGCTGCCGCCCGCATGCGTCAGCCACACCCAATTCGGCACACCCCTCACACGTTTCGTGGCCCCATAGGGAGCTCCACCGAAGGCCGCAGTGCCGCCGCCCGCATGCGTCAGCCACATCCAATTCGGCACACCCCTCACACGTTACGTGGCCCCAACCCGCATGCGTCAGCCACACCCATTTCGGCACACCATTTCGCACGCTTCGTGGCCCCATAGGGAGCTCCACCGAAGGCCCCAGTGCCACCGCTCGCATTCGTCCCGCACACCCATTTCGGCACCTCCACCAAAAAACACAGCGTTTCGTGGCCCCACAGGGACCTCCACCGAAGGCCCCAGTGGTGCCGCCCGCATGCGTCACCCCCACCCCAGCACAGCATTTCGTGGCCCCACAGGGAGCTCCACCGAAGGCCCCAGTGGTGCCGCCCGCATGCGCCACCCCCACCCAGCACAGCGTTTCGTGGCCCCACAGGGAGCTCCACCGACGGCCCCAGTGGTGCCGCCCGCATGCGTCACCCCCGCCCAGTACAGCGTTTCGTGGCCCCACAGGGACCTCCACCGAAGGCCCCAGTGGTGCCGCCCGCATGCGTCACCCCCACCCAGCACAGCGTTTCGTGGCCCCACAGGGAGCTCCACCGAAAGCGGCACCCGCAATGCGATATTCACAACTGCACATGGTTGGGTCCTTCGCCAGGATAATGTTTTCTCTCTATCTCTCTCTCATATACAGCTACTCCTCAAACCCGAGCACACACAAATATGACTTCTGTCTGATGTCTTCCCTCGCTGATCTCTGCACTCTTCACTCTGGGAGCCCAACAAGAGCACGGCCGCCTACTGGAACGGGCAAGAAAACACCACCGAGCCGTGGAAGTGGGACCCTGGGCACCCGGGCGCGAACCGAAGACGACGGCACTGACAACCCGAGAGCCGAATCGCCCACCGAGGTCGACGGCCCACTTTTGCCAAACACTTGCAAGATCTGCTCGCTGCGAGGACCCCTTCAGTGCGAGCACTGGTTTGGGAGAAGCTGGCCGTCGCGATTCGTTCGCGCGAGCAGAGGGCTGGTCCTCCCGTCCTTGGGAAAACCAAACAGTACCGATACGGCTACTCCCCAGTCCTCTCGCAGGGCGCGTTCTGACCAGGATTTCAAGGCGAATCCAGCGGCGGCGACGAGGGCCCCCCAGGAGGCCGCAAAATTGGAAAACGGGAAAAGGGTAGCGATATCGTCACCTTTTCCTCCTCCGAGTCCTGCTCCTCCTCCCCCTCCTCCAGAGCTCTCCTGGGGTGACCTCTCACCAGGATCTCGAGGCGGACCAAGCCACGGCCACGCGGGTACACGGGGAGGCCCGAGAGACCCCCAAAACGTCAGCGTCCCTCGATCCTCGAGCCCTACTGCCTCCCCCGGGGTCTAGGAGACAGCGAAAAACTACTACGAGCATTGAACATGTTCCTGGCGAAGGACCCAACCAGATGCCCGCAGGGAAGGTGGGACAAAGGAGAGGGAGCCAGTTACGGGGCCACAAGACGTGTGAGGGGTACGCCAACATGGGCGGGGAGGCGCATGTGGACATCGCCGCCGAGGCCTTCGGTGGAACTCCCTGGGGGCATGCCACGAAACGCGCGAGAGGTAAGCTGAATTGGCGGGGGAGACGCATGTGATCACAGCCACTGGGACCTTCGGTGGAGCTCCCCATGGGGCCACGAGACGCTGTACTGGGTGGCGCGGCATGTGGTCACAGCCACTGCGGCCCTCGGTGGAGCTCCCTCCTGAGCCACGAAGCGCCGTACTGAGTGGCGCGGGACGCATGTTGACACAGCCACTGGGGCCGTCGATGAAGCTCGGCAACGAAGCGCCGTACTCGGTGGCGCGGGACGCATGTGTTCACAGCCACTGGGGCCTTCGGTGGAGCCCTCCATGGGGCCAAGAAACGTCGTACTGGGTTGGCGCGGGACGCATGTGGTCACAGCCACTGGGGCCTTCGGTGGAGCCCCCATATGGGGCCACGAAGCGTCAGTACTTGGTGGCGCGGGGCGCATGTTGACACGGCGACTGGGGGCCTTCGGTGGAGCTCCCTATGGGGGCACTGCGGCCTTCGGTGCAGCTCCCATATGGGGCCACGAAGCGCCGTACTCGGTGGCGCGGGACGCATGTGGTCACAGCCACTGCGGCCTTCGATGGAGCTCCCTATGGGGCCACGAAGCGCCGTACTCGGTGGCGCGGGACGCATGTGGTCACGGCCACTGCTGCCTTCGGTGAAACTCCCTATGGGTCCACGAAGCGCCGTACTCGGTGGGGCAGGACGCATGTGGTCGCAGCCACTGGGGCCTTCGGTGGGGCTCCATATGGGGTCACGAAACGTCGTCCTGGCTGGCGGGACGCATGTGGTCACAGCCACTGGGGCCTTCGGTGGAGCCCCCTATGAGGCCACGAAGCGTCATATATTGTGGCGCGGGACGAATGTCGTCACAGCCACTGGTGCCTTCGGTGGAGCCACCCATGGGGCCACGAAGCGCCGTACTGGGTGGCGCGGGCCGCATGTGGTCACAGCCACTGCGGCCTTCGGTGGAGATCCCTTGGGGGCCACAAAACGTCGTACTGGGTGGCGCGGGAAGCATCAGGTCACAACTACTAGGGCCTTCGGTGGAGCTCCCTATGGGGCCACGAAGCGCCGTGCTGGTTGGCGCGGGACGCATGTGGTCACAGCCACTGCGGCCTTCGATGGAGCTCCCTATGGGGCCACGAAGCGCCGTACTCGGTGGCGCGGGACGCATGTGGTCTCAGCCACTGCGGCCTTCGGTGGAGCCCTCCATGGGGCCAAGAAACGTCGTACTGGGTTGGCGCGGGGCGCATGTGGTCACAGCCCCTGTGACCTTCGGTGGAGCTCCCTGTGGGGCCACGAAACGCCGTACTGTATGGCGCGGGGCGCATGTGGTCACAGCCATTGGGGCCTTCGGTGGAGCTCCCTATGGGGCCACGAAGCGCCGCACTTGGTGCGCTGAAACTGTGGACATGCGGAGGGCAGGGGCAAGGGTGGGAGGAGGGGGAGGAGGAGGAGAACGAGGAGCAGGAGGAGGAGGAAGAGGAGGAGGAGGAGCAGGAGGAGGATGGCGGGGCACTGTCCCTTCAAAACGAGGACCCACTA